GGTTGCAGCCGTCATTGTTGTTTGGCGGGTCCGGGCTGGGGATTCGAACCCGCCACCTTAGGTGTACGTGGCTGGCGCCTTAGCAGGTTGAGCTATAGGTGCCGAGCCGGGAAAAATATTCTTGAAGGTGAAATAAAAACATTTCATACAATCAAGTGCCAAGAAAGTTGATGGCTGACAGATCTGCTCTACAAGAAACATTTAAAACAAAAACGTCTTTTAGGCTAAAGCAAAATTATATGAGGCAATTTTATTTATGAGGTGATGTCCGATCTCTTCTATTAAACATTGTACTGTAGGTCCCAGCCACGGTAATTAGGCAAGAAAAAGAAATGAAAGGCATCCAAACTGGAAAGGAAGAAGTAAAACTATTTACAAATGACAGGACCTCATATAAAGAAAATCCTAAATACATGCGTTCAGCAAGGTTGCAGGATATAAGATCAATAATCAAAAAACCCCAACCGTACTTCTACATGGTAGCAATAAACAACCTGAAAGTAAAATTAAGAAGACAATTTCATTTATAATAGCATCAAAAAGAACAAAATGCTTATGAATAAAACTTAAAAAGAAAGTCTAAGAATCATGCAATGAAAATTATAAAACATTATTGAAAGAAATTGAAGAGGACCTAAAATAAATGAAAAGGCATCCTGAGGCATGGCCTGGAACACCCATTGTATTAAGATGGTGATACTCTCCAAATTCATCTATAGATTTGATGCGATCGCTGTCAAAACTCCAGCTGCATTTTTTTTTTTTTTGCAGAAATGTACATGTAGATCCTAAAATTCATATGGAAATGCAAGGGGCCTAGAGTAGGCAAACCAATCTTTAAAAAAGAGAACATATTGTGACTGAATATTATGTATCAAAAGCATTCCAACCATAGTCCAGAAACATTTAAAAACAGAAGGGAACTGGCGAGAACACAGCTTGCTGGAAGGCAGCAAGTGGCCCACACCAACAGCTACCTCTTTGCCCTGGCACAAACCTCAACCTTAATCAGAAGGAATGGCGGCTGGCAAGGGAAGAGAAGAACCAAACTGGGTCTCTATAACCACTGCCCTTCTGAGAGAGAGTCCAGTGACAACTAAGACACTGCTTAGCAACAAAGTTCTTTTTTTTTTCTTCGAGACAGAGTCTCACGTTGTCACTCTTGGTAGAGTACCATGGTGTCATAGCTCACAGCAACCTCAAACTCTTGGGTGCAAGCGATTCTCTTGCCTCAGCTTCCTCAGTAGCTGGGACTACAGGCAGCTGCCACAGTGCCTGGCTATTTTTAGAGATGGGATCTGGCTCTGGCTCAGGCTGGCCTTGAACCTGTAAACTCAAGAAATCCACTCGCCTTGGCCTCCCAGAGTGCTGGGATCACAGGTTTGAGCCACCATGCCTGGCCAGCAACAAAGTTCTTTAGCAACTTATTTCAAAAGTCATTATGGGAGCATTAATAGCATAATTAAGGGTTCAAGCCTTTAAATACCTTTTTACCTGTTCCCGAATCATCCTTAACATTAATTACACAAGCATTTAGGTGAACAAGGACAAGCAATACACTGACAAAACTTATGATTTTCTTTTCCATGTGAATTTTGAGTTCTCCAGTTCAATCTCTGTTTCACTGTCTCTTATCTTGAGTTTGGTGTAGAGAGAATGGACTTCTTCAGTGCCAACAGGAGGAACAGTCACTTAAATGCTCTGACAACAGGGAGGCAGGGGACGGTTCACAGACAGACTCCTATCTGGTGCTTTCTTCCATCAAGTATTACTAGCTACTTCCATGCTCTCCTGATTAGAATGATTTTACTTATTTGTCAGCACCCACATAGGAAAGAGATAACACAGTTACTCTCCATAGCAATTTTTCTCAGTCTGGACAAGCAGTCAGGAGGAGAAAACGTGTATCAGAACGTTATGCTGGGTGGGTACAGTGGGACTGATGCTCTTATAATCTCTCTTGGAGTCTTTGCATTAGGTGATACACAGTATAATTTCAAAAGACAAACACATGTAAAGAATAAAGGGAAAGAAAGTTATCAAACACCCGAAACGTGCCATGTACTCCGCCGACTTGCTCACTCAATCCTTAGCACGACACTGTGACCTGGATTATCACTGCCCCATTTTATAAGAACTAAGCAGAAGGATTGAAATGATATGGAAAGGGAAAGTGACCAAAGCATGACTTTGTCCCATCGCATCAAGTATATATACCTGGTACTTCCAGCAGCAGAAAGTAAAGCCCAGCAGCATGCAGGCTGTATTCGCGATACTGCACGCCGACGCTTTTCTTATGAACTATCTGAACAAAGTGATAGAATAATGCCACCAGCGTACTATGGGAAATGCTGTTCTCAGTGAAGAAGGTCCAGATGCTCTGTGAGAAGGGCAAAGCACAAAAGCCAATAATTAGAAAAATCCCCCACTATTGGAATTTTGTAAGTATTTATTGCCTTACAAAAAGACCACCTGGCTCTTAGTGATAAGTGTATCATATTTATTTATTTATTTGAGACAAAGTCTCATTTTGTCGCCCTCGGTAGAATGCCATGGAGTCATAGCTTACAGCAACCTCAAACTCTTGGGCTCAAGTGATTCTCTTGCCTCAACCTCCCAAGTAGCTGGGACAGTAGCTGCCATAATGCCCGGCTATTTTTAGAGATAGGGTCTAGCTCTGGCTCAGGCTGGTCTTGAACCCCTAAACTCAGGCAATCCACCTGCCTTGGCCTCCTAGAGTGCTAGGATTACAGGCATGAGCCACTGCACCCAACTAAATAAGTTTTTTTTTAGTCTCTGGCCAGGGCTGGGCTTGAATCCATCACCTCTGGTATATGGGGCTGGTGCCCTAATCTTTTGAGCTACAGGCACCACCCTAAATAAATTTTTTAAAAGAATTTTTTGGGTAAATTTGAACCACAAACACTTTTGAAATTATTATATCTTAAAACTACACTAAATCTTTTGGGATACCATATATTAGTGATTGCTCAGAAAAGTTACTTCTGCATCTAGGTTAAATGTACCTAAATCCATTTATCATTAATTACTAAGGAAATCAGAGCAATTTATTTAAATGTAAATGTTCTGCAGATGTGAGCAATGGGAGCAGGAGACACTTGAAGCCTCTCCCTCAATATATTTCAAAAGTAGCCTGGGGATGAAAGGAAAGAAACCCTAGAATAAAAACCACAATTTTATTAATTTCATCATTGTCCTACGCTTTCTCCTTTTAAACAGATGAAGAGGAAATGGGTTATTGAAATAAACCAAATATAGCAGGAAATAAATATGGTTTACCTCTGAGTATTGTGTATCTTAAATAAAACAAAGGCCCGATACATTTAAGCAATTGGCCTTCGTGCTTGCTGCTTCCTTGAAAAGGCAGGGGAAGTGTCAGCCAGCTTCCGATTATCCCCACTGCTTAGCACGTGCCTCCTTACAGGGAGACCACTGAAAATCTTTTCCTTTCCTTCGCTAGGAAACTTCTAGAAGAAATCACTTCCTACCTTCACCGTATCACATCCTCATTCCTGATGCCACCTGCACTTTCGTGGCACTCACCTTGGAGGTCACCCCGGACCTGTTTGGTCTCTTAGGCCATGTGACCCCACAGCCACAGTCTGGTCTCGGCACCAGTGCCCACTGTCCCTCTGCTTTCTGACTGCTCCTCCTCAGGCCCCTTTCAAATGGCTGCTTCTGTTGTGTCTTCTCTCCCCGACCTCCAGGTCACTGTATTCCTACACACCCCTGGATTGAGAGCACCCTCCTCTCTCTCCTCATCTTCCAGTCCTTATTTCTAACTACGTGTTAGGCCTCCCTGAATGTCAGATCTCCTAACAGAATCTCACGCTCAAAAGTCTACACGGGAACTCATAATTTCCACTTAACCTTGCTCCCTCTCCCTGATTCCCCAGCGTGGTCACAATGTCATCTTCCAGAAAGTTTCTGTCTTTTGCTCCATCCTTACACTCAGTCAATTTAGCACTTTGCAGCATGTCAGAGCTATCTCACCAGGGAGTCTAGTTCACAACCCCCTACTAATACTACCTCAAAAAATGTTCCTAAGAACTAGGAACTTCGTTTCCAATTCCCACAACTACAACTCCAGATCATGCCGCTGACACTTACAACACCCACATCACCATAAAAGTCTCCCAAGGGATCTCCCTTGTATCTATTTTTCTCACTTCAGTCCATCTACGGTCAAGAACATTTGTCCTAAAACAGGTCTATTCACATGACTTAGTCTACTGTTCACTGTAACCTCTTCCACACAGGGCTGATTGTGAGATTAGATGAGTTAACATATGCATGATGCTTAGAACAGAACCTCATAAACAAACCTTATTTAAAAAGTTTCGACTTCACAGTCCATCCTCACTCAAAGCTCTCAGACCTATCCTCAGTCAACATATCCATCCTAGGTCCTGCCTCGCATTTCAAGAAGTCTGCGTGCTACCGTGTTTCCCCGAAAATAAGACACCGTCTTATGTTTATTTTTTCTCAAGAAGACACAGTAGGGCTTATTTTCAGGGGCTGTCTTATTTTTATTAAGTATAATACAACAATCTACGTTTATTCAAATACAGTTAAGTCATCTTCTTCTGGAACCTGATGGGGGGAGCCGACCTTGTTGGCGGGGCTGGCGCTAGTGATGTGGGAACTGTGACCAAGGTTAGCACATGTACACCTGCGCAAGTGTGAACAGCTCAGAGAAAGGAGCTGTGGGAGATAAAAGGTATTCCAGTCTTCCTTACCTCTCTGTGCGGAAATGCAGATACGCTGCATAGCCACGCCCATCACTAGGTCTTATTATTGGGTAGGGCTTATATTTAACAAATGCATAAAAATCCTAATAGGGCTTATTTTTTGGGTAGGTCTTATTTTCAGGAAACACAGTATTCTCACCACACACTCACAGCTCCCTCCACATTCCACATATGCTCCCATCATGTCGCTCCTTTGCCAGCAAAGCCTTACAATCCTAATTTCTGTTAGTCAATACCTTATTCATCTATGAAGATTCAGCACTTGCTACTTTCTTTCTGGAACCGTCCTAACTCTAATGTGCTTCCTTCCCCTTGGCTCTATTAGATACGTACACCCCACTTGGAGCACTTTCTACACTCTGGTTCAGTGAGGCCCCCTTAGGCTCACAGCGGCATTGCACTTCCCCAACCCCTGCGTGTGGTTGATGGACTCACTTTTGCCAGTGCTCGGTGTCCACTCTCCCTCCCTGGTCCTAGGGAGAGGCCTGTATCTTAATGCTGGCTTTGTCTACCTAAGTACATAACACAGTGCTCAGCATCAGGTTGAAGGAGTGTTGAATTACATGACTTAATTTTTGAACACGTACATGAAACTTGTAACATTTTTATTTACTTTCCACGTTTCAGAGATGTTGATATCTAAGTAGTTTTTGCTGTGTTTCCCAATCCTTCTGTTTTTTTGAAAAATACTGAACGATTTAAATATTAATAAGCACACTAGGTAGAACTCAATATTCAAAGGAACTCTTTGGATAACTCTGTAATTCAACTAATCATGCCTCCGTTTGTGAATATCAGGCTCTCTTGTAGTTAAGGCTTGAATTGTTAATTACATTTTCCTTGGACTTCTTTCCATTTTTAGTTTGTCTGTTTTTGCCTTTTTATGTTTCCTTTAATTTGCTCTTGCAAAAAAGTGGTCATGGCTTGGGGAAAAAAAATCAGACTAATACCTCGAACCTTTTGGGAAGCTATTAGGATATTCCAATAAATGAATGAATGAATATTCTTTATGTTACTCATATTGTACTCTATATAAATTGTATGCTAAAAAACCTGAGCTTTAGGTTATAATGATGATTTTTATCTTCCACTTTTAACACCTCAAGTTAGCTAGCTTAACTTTTTATTTTCTTACTTCTGTAGAGCTGTGTTCTTCCATAGCAAAGGGGTAAAGGCTTTCATAGAGTTTTGTGAATGCACTCAGTCCAGTCTCTATGATCTCGGACTCTATGCTGGCATCCAAAGGCTCCGTCTCTGTGAAATCCAGTTCCCACACTGTGTCCACCCATCCTAAGGGAAAATAAATAATGCAATTAGTAAGTGCTCTATAATAAGTAAATTACCAATCACCTTTAGACTCCAGGTACATTAAAGAGGAGAAAAGTTTATAAGTCACAACTCATATTTAACTTGTCATACGTAGGTGTAGTGTAATTAAAGGCAAGCAGAAAAGTTGAGGAGGATCTTTTTTTTTTTAAATCACAAATGACAGCTGGCTATTAGGTTAACAACCTTCCAAAAATATCAAGAAAGAAAATGCTGCCTGGGCACAGTGGCTCAGACCTGTAATTGTGGCACTCTGGTAGGCTGAGGCAGGTGGATTGCTTGAGCTCAGGAGTTCAATACCATCCTGAGCAAGAGTGAGACCCCATCTCTACTAAAAATAAAAAAAAAAATTAGCTAGGCATGGTGATGGATGCCTGTAGTCCCAGCTACTTGGGATCAGGAGATTGAGGTAAGAGGATTGTTCAAACCCAGGAGTTTGAGGTTCTTGTGAGCTATGACACCACGGTACTTTACTCAGGGTGACAGAGTGAGACTCGTCTCATAAAGAAAGAAAATGCTTTTAAGATATAATAGTTTGGGGGAATGACACGTCAAAACACTTAATGGTCAGGCCTTCCCATATGTCTAATCTAGAGAACAGAGGTTAATCAGATTCCCCCAGATGCTCCTTTGTGAAATTCTCACAACCAAATTAATAAGCCCACATAAACTATATAACATACTTTATTGTGCCCTTGGACAACAGCATGATAAAAAAACAGATATGATTTCCCCAAGAAGTTTAAACTAGAGGAGGCAAGGCAGATTCATACTCATAGATACTCAGTGACTTCATAATACACTGATGGGAAGAAGGTGTGTTGTGATAAGGTCATATTAAGGCAGCATATAACTGGATTTCTTGGCAATCTGTCTTACCTTTAAACCCCTCCCATTTATCTCACAAACTTAATTACATTTAATGTTTTCAGTGTTATTCCCCCAAACCTACCATTAAGACTAGGTGGAAAGATGTGGATATCTCAGATAAAGTATTAATCAGGTGCTCCTTCAAATTAATATTCTAAAAATATTTGTTCACCACTGATTTAGAGAAGTTGGGCCAGGGTATAAATAAATAAAAACAGAGACAGATGGTAGCCTCAGCCTTTCGTTCATGGCTCTGCACATTATGTGGCACTCAGCAAAGAGTTAACTAAGTCCATCTTCCTTAGAATACAATCTGCCTACCATCTTTCGTCACTTGAGCTTGGCCCTGGGGGAGGAAGTCCCTGTACCTCAAGTGGCTCTGTATAACATCCTTCTGAAGATATGCAATACTCTGCCTTAAGGAAGATATGAAAAATACAATTGAATCTCTCCATATTTCCAGTTAAAGCTCATTATAGATTACAGCAAAAGTTACCCCATTTTTTATTATGGCTTTTTCCACAATAGCACCCTACTGTCCGTAGCATCTAATCTAATTTGGAAGGTAGTAACTGGCCCTGATAACTGCCACTTTCACAGTTCACAGAAGTCTTCTGTGTTGATTGTTGAGAGCATAGGAAAAAGTGAGTTTGATTATTTTTCTGCAATAGTCTTATACCATTCAAAATAAACCCCTCACTACCTATTTTCACGCTGTCAAGCAGAAGATAATTTCTGCTCTAATTTAGAGGAAAGCCTCTAGATGTGCTAGAGAAAATGCTAGAGGGTTCTTGTTCACAAAGATCTTACCATCTCACTTAGGATACCAAAAAAGAACCTATGGTAGAGGAAGACCGTAAAATTTTCATTAGAACAAGGTGGATCTTCTGACTTGATTCTCTTAATATGCTTAGTCTCCACGTCATCACTGGGAACACAGGATAATGAAAAGTAATGTATACACACAGCCTAAAAATGTGCTAGCCATATAAAAGATACTCACTGAATGATAGTTATTATTTTCACAAGGAATGAGTTGTTAAAATGGAAATAGATATGTAAAACATAAAACGCTAGAGAACTTCATAGGAAATATTACCAGAGGAGGAGGAGGGATAGAGGTGGGTTAACTGATTCTTTAGTTGGACTTGAATATAGTTTTCCAGGAAAAGAAATGCAACAAGGTGTACCCCAGAGAGCATAGCATAACCAAGCACAAAGGAAAAGAAAGTATAAAGTATTAAGAAATCAACTAAATACTAATAGCTACAACATAGGGTTTCAGGGCGGAGGGTGAGAATTAGTATGTATTTGGCAATTATTATGTGCCAGGTATGAAGTTCGTCTTCACAAAAACCTTCTGACATCCGTTTTACAATGCCCATTTTACAGATAAAGAAATTAAGGCTTAGGAAGCTAATTAAGCAACTTGCCCAGTAATACACGATTGCTATGTGGTAGAGCTAAGAAACCTATTCGAGTATTTCCCATAGTGAAGGCTCTTTTAAGGAATGCCAAGGATCTGGTTATCTGTTTATGAAATGTAGGGGAAACATTAAAAGTTTAAAAGACTTGACAAATTTAAAGTTGTTTTCAAAAGTGGTCCTGCAGAGGTGTGGAGGATGGGCTGACACAGTTAACATCAGAAAACAGCTAAGATACACTCCCACAACGCCTCAGGTTGGCTATAATGCAGGCTTGCGCTTGGACAGCAAGCAGCGTCCGGAATGGAGCGGAAGGACTAAGACACCTCCGAAGCAGGATAACTAGAGGTGGTGGGCCCCAAAGGGGACACGAGAATGTCACGATTGGTGCCAGTAGGTGGCTTTGGGAATCCCAATTTCATTCATGTGACGTTTGATGATGCCTGCGTGTGAGACATCCAGCTGAACTTATGAACATGAAGTTCAAGAAATAAGTCTGGCAGAAGGAGAGTGCACTTTAAAATCACCGGAATAAATAAAACCACATACATCCACGAAGATTTGCAGAATAAGCAGGGTTAGGCGGAGAAAACAGATGCACAAGTACTAAAAGAGACTGGCCAACATCAGCTTTTATTTTTTTAACGGTTACGTGACTGGGTTGAGCCTCTGTCGTAAACTCGGATGGCCACTATCCTGGTGTGACACAGCTCCAGGGACCCCAAACCCTACCGAGAGCCCCCTCCCCCACCCCCACTCGCACCTCGGCCCGATCTGGGCTAAGGTACAGTCGGAGATGCAAAGCATCCGAGGTCTGCACCCGGGGCCTCGCGGCTGCGTCTCCTCACCGGGGCTGAGATCCAACGGGCACCAAGGCTGCAGGCCGCTCCCAAGGTCCCGCAGCGCCACCATGTTCTCCCGGGAATTGATTCGCCTCCGCGGAGCTCAACTTTCAAAGCTCGCTCCCGCTCGCGCTCCGAGACGTTCCTGCGGACCAATCAGAACGTGCAGAATTTCCCATAGCCCAATCACAGAGCCAAACCGTTTTCACTCTACCAACCAATCAGGTGAGTCGTGAGCGCACGCGCAAAAAAAAAAAAAAAAAAAAAAATGGGGCAGGCTGAAAACTGGAGGCTGAAACAAGATTCATCAGGGTGATTTTTCAGCTCTTCTATTAAAGTAAGAGCCAATAACTAAGCGAAGGCCTAATAGCGTCTTTCCAGCCTTGTTTGTCACAAGTGGGAGGAAATGTAGAGTATTTGGGACAGGGCACTTCCTGCAATAACCGTCACCTTTGCCCCCGTCCAGCGACATTTCGCGTGAGTGTCAAAGGGCTACCTTCATCCCGTCAGCACTCGAACGTTGTACATAACCGAATCTGGAAGGTAGCCCAGCGTTTGTCGAGCTACAACGATACCAAGAAAGCAAACAAAGGGATTCCGAGAAGACATCTGCAGTTCTTTTGATTTTTGCCTGAGTCAGGATTCTACTGGAAACAGGCTGTGGCTGCCATGTCGACTTAGGAAGGGACAGCGAGCCGCGCCACTGTGCACTTGCGCAGTGAGCGCACCCCCTAGCGTCCGGGAGGCCAAAGCTGGAAGAAAGCATGCGCATGCGCGCGGCGTATCCAGCGCATCCGGGCTGGAGCTCGCCTTCCCCCTCCCCCGCCCGGCGCCGCCGAAGCACCTGGGTGCGTTGCACCGCCAGAGGCTGGGCAGCTGCTCTGTGAGGGACCCCACCTGGTGGGCGCAGGCCACGCTCACCCGGCTCTGCGCAGCAGCCCTCGCCCGTTCACTGCCATTGGCGGCTCGGGCTGGCTCGGCGCGGCGCTCTGCTCCTCAGTGCATTGCTGCTCGGGGCGCTGCAGCCCGCAGCCGCCCGCCTCCCCTGGCCCTGCTCCTCCCCCGTGGAACTGGGCTGTCGGTCGTCGCCCACCGCCCCGCGGCCCCGGCGGAGCCCGGCTGCTGTGCGGCCGCTGAGCGCGCTCCCGCATCGGGCCCTCCGGCCTGTCTTCCCTTAGGACAGCCCGCGCCCCGGTGCGAGGGAGCGGTCCCTACCGAGACCGGCCGGGCCCGGCGGTGAGATGAGCTTCTTCGGCTTCGGGCAGAGCGTGGAGGTGGAAATCCTTCTGAATGATGCAGAGAGTAGGAAGCGGGCCGAGCACAAGACGGAGGACGGGAAGAAGGAGAAATATTTCCTCTTCTACGACGGAGAGACGGTCTCCGGGAAGGTGAGCCTTGCGCTCAAGAACCCCAACAAGCGGCTGGAGCACCAGGGCATCAAGATTGAGTTCATCGGGCAGATCGGTGAGTCGAACCCGGGGATCTCCCTCCCCAAACGCCGTCAACCGGGCCAGGGCTGAGGGGTGGGCGGGGAGCGGCGTGATTCAGGGCCCAGCTCTGGCGAGGCCTGACACAGTCACTCATCAGCTGCAGCCTGAGGCCTGGGGCTCAGACACAAGTCCAGCTCGTGGGCGACTCCCCCTGCCTTACTGTCCTCCCAGCCAGAAGTGACAGCGCACTGCAGGGGAGGTGGGGAGGCCGTGCGTGGGAGGGCCCTGCTGTGCCTGGTGGGACCCGGCTCTGGGTACCCCTGTCTCTTCGGCACGCTCTCAGCCCCCAGGATTTCAGAGTGAGGTGCTTGAAGCCGCAGCCTGAAGCTCTCCCAACACTGGTCTTCCCGCTGACCACTAAAGCTGCCAGACCCAAAGTTAAGCTTTTCTTTTGAGACGTGGTGTGGAAGAGAGAGCTTATCAGTTGGCTCTTATCTCTCCTGGCTGTGAACCACCTATCCCTGACACGCTTTCAGAAGGAAGACCTGTAATTTTCAGTCTCTGACTGCTTATCCCGCCTGCATTTCTCAGACTTTTATTATTAGGTTCGAGTTTTCAGTTGTCTCATTTTCTCCTTAAAGACGAAGAATGATGTTCCCCAAACCACAATTAAGTGATCAGAATTCTTAGGTGTCCTAACAGCCTTCAAACATGATCGTTAATCATGAGAACTGGACAGTAAAAGGCATTAACCATAAAGAAGATTTGGGGAGCTTCTGGTGAAGACTGGGTGTCTCCAGTTCTAACACTATTTGGAGTCTTGCACGTTATTAAAATGCTTGGGCACTTCTAAAACAAACCGTTTTTGTCATTAGGCCAAGAGTAGATTTGCCGTAAATACTCTGTGGGCTGCAAACACCTCTGGTAGAGAATCTATACCCTGTACCACACGCTGCCTCTATAACACTGTTTTCAGAGACTTCTTTGAGCTTGTTGAACTCTCATATTTTGAGGGTGTAGGAAGAAATTGGTTCTCTCCTTTTCACAGCTCCAGGAAACACTGAGGCATGGGTTAGGGTTAGGAAAAAAGGAGGAGTCCTGGTGGCCTGGTTCTGCAGTCCGCTGGTATTTTGCCTCAAGCATTTGCCTCTGGTATTTAAGAAAATGAGATCAGGTTAAAGACTGGCTGATCCAATAGGAACCTTTTTATGTTATTTTAAAGCCAGAACATGAGAGACCTGTTACTGTACCAGAAAAGGACCAGCAGAGCAAATTGATGCCTTTTATCACTTGTGATACTTTCTTGCTTCTGGCTTGATGGCAGGATCGCTCAACAGCAGCAGTGGTGACATTGGGGACCTGATAAGGCTTTGTTGCCAGAGGATATTTAGCATCATCCCTGGCCTGAATTGACCAGTTACCAGTAGCATCTCTCACTTGTGACAACAAGAATGCCTCGCACTATTGCCATCTGTCCCCTGGGGTGTAAAATCATCCCTAGTAAAAATCTGTCTGGTATAGAGAAGATGACTCCAAAGTATTTTATGTTAACCATAATATATGAAATAGTCAAGAAATCATTACCTTAATCTATCATGGGATTAGAGCTAAAATTATTAAAAATAAAGAAATCCTTGCCTCTGAGAAATGGTGTTTTGAAGTAGTAGTTTTAAAGTTACCGCATTGATTCTTCGACTCCGTAATACCAGTGTGAACAGGCGTGTTTAATCCGTACCTATACCATCACCCCCAGGAGATGGTGCCTTGCCAATTTGAAAAATGACCCAGACTATCTCTTACCCCAGACAATATGAAATGAGCCTTTGTAGGAGGATCAGTGTCCAGGCCTCCCGCTAGTCTGAACGAAATTCCTGCCTTCCTTGGTTTCTTGGCTAACTCCTTAATCCTAGCACATTATCCATGCTGAATTTTCTCAGAAACTTTTGTTGCTTCCCCTAGTAACTTTTCCTGGGCCTCTGGCCAATCTGGGCTGAGTTGACCATGAGACATTGGGGAACTTAGGTCCCTCTCTGAGCCTCAACTTTCTGAACTATCAAGCCTGGATAATAATATCCCCAGGGTAAAAATATTTGTCATGCCAGGGGAATCACACTTCACGCCCCTTACAGAGGGTTCTTGTATAAAGTTACAGCAGTTGATGTAGTGATATTTCCATTTCCCAAGTTCAGTTATCAGTCTCTGGCTGATACCCTTTTACTCTAGACCTTATACCCTACCCTCACAGTAAGATCAGCATGTTATTTACAGGGAGTGCACGTTTCAGCACCTTGCGTTAGATGTCTTCCTTCGTTCACAGAGGCCACTCACACCTGATGCTGTAGCTAGAGCCAGTCCCAGCTGCGTGCTTCCAGTATACAGCTCGCTCCCAATTATCTGTGGTTACAGAGGGCATAGTGAAAGGCTAATACAGAATTATGGATATTTCTTATTACAGTAGAACCCCCTGTAAGTTAACCAACTAAAGGACCATAACAAGCTGTCAATGGATGGAGGTGGTCAACATAAGGAATTAGGCCTACTGTACTGGGACCATACATGTAATGTGTGTCCAGTCTGAAAATTAGGTCAACTTGAGGCATTCACTGTAGGGGGGTGGTCAGCTATGGAGGTTCTACTGTGTTTGATTTTGGAATGTATTTCTTGATTGAGAAGGGGGCATTAGAATAACCTTTCTAGTTACGTTTGGTATAAAAGGGAGTTTGTGTTCCTAAAATACACACATAGACAGGTAAGTAAAAGTGTCACCAGCCTATATGGAGGCACAGAGTGACTTTTCTTAGGCTCTTGCACATGGTGGCCATAAATTTAAAATTGCACACGGACTTTATAGCCACCTTACATTTCTCCTGTTTTATCCTCCCAGTTCCCCCAAAGAAGCAGGTTATGAAGCATTAGTGTCACAAGCTAAGAAAGTCATTGAGAACTGACTCCAGGGCACCAGAGCGAGACTAGTGAGCAGCGTTGCCCAAGCTGCGGTCTTGTGGTTTTCTGGTTCATTGCTTTCTTTGACTGTGTATAAAGTGGGTGGAACTTGGGCCACGTTCTGAGGTCTAGCTGTATGGGTGACGTGCGGGTAAGACATCATTGAGCTCTGTCCCCCTTCCTGGTTGATTTGAGGCAGGCAGAGGTGTGACTTTGCCCCCTGCCCCCTTTCACTGTAACTTGCACTGTCCTCTGCATCTGTGGCTTCAGTGTCATCTCATAGTCTGACGACTCGCCCTCTCTTTCTTTGTTCTGACTGGGATTCCCTTCTGAGTTTCAGCCCTGTCTCTCCAGCTGCTTCCTAGACACGTCCCCCTTGATACCTGCCAGGTGCCTCAGAGATGCAGCCAGACAGAAACTCTGCCTTCTCTTTCTCTGCCCCAGCACCAGCACCGTCCCTGGTGCTTCTACTGATTTCTCCGTTTTGGCTCATGTCACCTGTTTCCATTCAGCCTCAGAGATCTGCGAGTTACATCAGTCTTCACTGCCCCCCGCCCCATGCATCTGGTTGGCCTCCAAGTTTTGATCCTCTGTAAAAACTCTGGGGTGTATTGTAAATTGAGGTCTCCTCTCCATTCTCAGCGCTACTGCCTTTATTGTTTCTGTGGCGGGTGGCCTCCTGAGTGGTCTTCTTGTGTTTGCTTCCCGTGCCTTTCAGGTTATCCTCTGTAAGGACGAGCTTGCCAAAAGGCAGTTGTAACAGTGTCAGCCCTTAAAGTTCCTGTCAACTCCCACTGTTTAAATGGACAAACATATCCAGATCCTTCTGGAGTGGTCCCTGCCTCGGCTCTCCCTGCCCTGCACCCACACCACTTGTGGCTTCCTCAGAACATCCTGTTTGTTTTAGAATCTTGACATCTTTGTTTTGTGTGGCAACATTTTTCTGCAAGGTATTACCTTCCACCCATGCTCTCACTCCCCCCTCAAACGCCAGCAGGAACCTTCCCTGGCTGGTTTTGGTGTGTCCTCCCCTGATCTTCCAGAGGCCTCCCTGATCCCTCTTCAGACAGGATATGACAGGGTTATGACCTTTTTAAAAAAAACTTGTCTGTACGGCTAATCTCCAGTTTTAGCGGCTAGCACACACGGAAGGGGGCCCATAGATATGTATCTGGTACGTAGGTCAGACCTAAGCATTGACAGAAACTATTCTCCAGATTGTTTTTCTCATTTCCTCCTAGATAAGGGAGAGTTATGTTAATGGAAGAAAGGGAGAGTGCAGGTTTGCCTTGCTGGTTACCCTTCAGCCTCTGGGCTTCCTGCTTTTGCTTGTGGAAGAGGCGACACTGCCTGAAGTGCACCCCTTAATCCAGGCTGATGAGCCCTCCCCATTTGCTGGCTTGCCCCTGCTGGAGCGGCTCTCACCAAGGAAGGGGCCTGGGGTGGAGGAGCCTTGAAGCTGATGTCAGCTCACCTGCTGTTGCATCTTTCCCTCACATTCTCCTGTGCCAAGCTGAGGCTGATTTTCCCCTGTATGGAAGAAAATAGGAGTTGTCAGACCTGTCGTCCATCGGGCCTGAGCCAGCTGCTCAAAAGTTTGCATGTTGCCCCCGAGGGTATGGGGTCTTGTTTATCCATGTACACGACGTGCATGCTTTTCTGTTAACCTCTGGTAAATTTTTGAGGCCCCCCCGGGATCCTTCCTGCACCTAACCTATTCTTTCTAATGACTTGCTGTCTGTTCTGACTCTGCTAGCACAGCTTGGGAAGGACATCTCTGGGCCAGGCCCACGGGATAGAAAGGTCTCAGTCAGACCTTGTCACCTAGCAGCTAATGCCCACACCTTTAGAAAGGTGCAGACATCCGTAAGGAGCACTGAGGGACAACTGTGTTTGTGAGAAGTAGGAGAGGCCGTTGTGCAGCGAAGCCTTTGGGGAACACTGGTAGGTGAGGCCTGGGCCCCCTGGGAGACCAGCGGGGTTAAATAAGCCAGATGTAACTAGAAATTTGCAGGGAAGGGCAGACGCAACATTCCTGTACTCCAAAGCCAATAGATATTATCTTGATTTTTTTTTTTTTTTTGAGACAATCTCATTCTATCACCCTGACTAGAGAGAATGCTGTGACATCACAGCTCACAGCAGCCTCAAACTCTTGGGCTCAAGTGAGTGATACCTTTGCCTCGGCCTCCCAAGTAGCTGGGAATACAGGCACCTGCCACCACACCCAGCTAGTTTTTCTATTTTTAGTAGACAAAATAGAAAAATGTAAGTCTCACTGTTGCTCAGGCTGATCTTGATCTGCCTGTCTCGGCCTTCCAGAATGCTAGGATAGATTACAGGAGAGCCACCACGCAGATCTATATTGATTTTTCAAAAGTTTTTAATAAACCCATCAGTACCAATCAAGCCTTTACTTTTAAAAGCTCCAGAGGCCTTCTGTATTTCAATTCATTAACTCTTGAAATGCTAAGTAAAAAGCATACTGAGATTAAATGGGTTGATTCCTGCCTACTTAGTAAGCTGCTAGCGCTGCAGGGGTTGAACAGAGCTGCACTGGCAGGCACAGGCAGCCAGGAGGTGCTAGTGCTCCGTAGCCTTACTAGGGGCTAGGAGATGAGTGGGGGCTGTGGCTGGCACGATCCCACCAAACTGCGGCTGGGAAAATCAGGTGAAGAGGAGGCTGTCTGAAGGGCTTTTTGCCCTTTCTGACTTAACATTGCTTCTAAGATTGGCATGAAGCCTGGATTAAACATGAGCCCAGCCCCACAGTGACCACCAGAGTGTCTATCCCGGGATGATCTATGGTGCAAAACTGGCTCCTTTTCCTTCCCAAGTGGCAGATTCACTGGTCAACCGTTGGTGGCAAGTTTCATCATGAAAACATCCTGAGTACCAAAGTTATTTCCTCCTGATGGACTGCGATGGAAACTCAAGATGGGGTAGTTACCTTAACAAAACAGTTAGTTCCTACTTCTAGCCGGACGTGTTGGACTCTGAGGACTTAGCTGGTTGACTGTGGTTGCTTCTTTGGGATGGAATAGAGGCAGTTTATAGTCTCTTCCCAGCCTTAGAGGGAACAGCCTTAGAATTAATTTATGCAAGAGAATACCAAACTTTCTGGCAAATAGGAAAGTACTACAGTTTCTGCCCTTTTGCCCTATGGTGTTTGCAGGAGCATTGCAAATAGCTTCTAAATTATAGGTTAAAAAGGCCAGTCCAGCCCTGCTCAGGTCGTACACTGGCCACCGTCCCATGACATTTGAGGTAGGAGCTGATATTTGTGTGAGTCCAGAGGGAAAGGCTCCAGGGAGAACGTGATGCTATGCAGGGAAGGACTTCTACCCCGGGTTCCCTGCAGGGCAGGCGGGACCTTCTGCACCATTGCTAGGATCCGCGAACGCTGGCAGCCCGAGCGCTCTCCGAGCCTTGTCTGTTTTGTTTATTTCTCATGTTGCCTTTGGGCTGTGCTCTCACATTTGTGTATTTTTCCGTCCTTCTCTTCCCATCATCCTCTTGACTCTGGGATTTCCCACTTAGAGCTCATGGATCCGGGGGTCTTGCCCTATCACCTTCTGTCTCCAGAAGTGGAACTGAGGCACTACGTTCCCAAGAACTGTGGAACTGAGGCACTACGTTCCCAAGTGAAGGGTTCAGCTCCCACAGGGGAGCCACCACCACCAACCAGGGCTCAGGTAGCAGGAGTAAGTGTGTTTCTGGGGCTGACCATGGCTCTGTTCCCACCCCATGCCTGCATCTCCTTACTTTTACTGAGGGGTACAGTTAGTGGATTGTTCACCCCCCACCGTTGTTTGGAGCTGTTATCTCCCATTTAGTGGCTTTGTGGATTATCATTCACCACCCAGAGTGCTGCCCGCTGCTGAGACCAATTAGTATTTGGAAGAGAAGGTGGGTTACTTGTAATGAGATTGATTAAAGTGTAACTATATAGGAGATCAGCCACAAACCATAAGCACAAACTATATTGTGAATTTATATGGAAATGGCAGCATCACTAGTGTGGGGTTATCCACACAGTGCCACCTGCCACCTTCATAAGTTAGGTAAATCTTATGACAGACCCCCCCTGCTTCAGAAGGCTGCCATCAGGGTCAGCTCCTGGGCCATCAAGGGGGTAGATTTTTCACTCAGACAAAACCACCTAAACCCATTTTTCTCTTTCTGGAAAAAGGAGGCAAGAGATCTCTTTCTTTTTGAGGGGGGAGGCAGAGTTTCACTTTATCGCCCTCTGTAGAGTGCTGTGGTGTCACAGCTCACAGCAACCTCCAACTCCTGGGCTTAGGCATTTCTCTTGCCTCAGCCTCCCGAGTAGCCAGAAATCTCTTTCTTTGGCCCAAGTAGGCTTTGATACTAATCTGGCTCAGATCTTGGGCTGTGCAGGGTGGACCCAGAGGAAATGCTGCTCTCCCCACTGCCATGAACACTCAGGTTATCCCTGAGAGAGATCACTCCTGTGTCCCAGAAATGCCCCAGACCAGGTCTCATGGGCACTTGTCCCAGAGACCACTTTCTGTGGTCTAGTCTCTTTTCTCTCCAAGCAGCAAACCACAGAAGCAGCAGGTGTACTCTGCCTACTCTATTTTCCCAGTTTAGCTGCCTTGCTTGTCGTGGACTTGAACCCAGAAGTACCTAAGCAATGGGACTGTGATGTTGCCACATGTAGTAACAGTATTATGAGTTTGCAACTGCCGGGCCAAGTGCTGGGGGGTACCAGGGAGCTGGGGATATGATCAAAATGGAAAAGAAAGGCCCTGTATATACAGCACAACTTAACATTTCAGTAGCAGAATACAGAATACAGACAGACGTAAAATAATACAAGACACATAGGTGGCATGAACTTATCATAAAGAAATACCAGAGCCTGGGCAACATATCAAGACCTTAACTCTACAAAAAATAAAAGAAAAATTGTCTGGGCCTGTAGTCCCAGCAATTTGGGTGGCTAAGGCAGGAGGATCACTGGAACTCCAAAGTTAGGTCCAGGCAACAGGAGTTAAGATCTTGTCTCTTAAAAAAAAGGAAGAATAATGAAACACCAGTACTGTTCTTGAAAAGGATGGCTTTAGAGCAATGCTTCCCCAAGACTGGCATCAGCACGCCCTGGGATCTTTTCAGAGATATGAATTCTCAGGCCCCACCTAAGACCTCCTGAATCAAAAATATCAGAGGTGTGGCCCAGAAGTCTGTGTTAATCAGCCCTCCACATGACGCTGATGTACACTGAAGTTTGAGAACCACTGATTTAGGTGGAATAACGTTAAAATGTGCGCGTCAGATTGGCTACGTGCCTTCCTTTTTGAGTGATCATGGCAGCTAAGAGCTACTTGTATATTTATGACTTCCTGTCTGCTAGTTACTATCCCACATCCTTTACCTGTGTTAGCTCCACTCTTCTCACACAACCTTATACCCCCCCGTGTTACCAGATCGTAGACATGGATGCAGTCTAGGAGGAGACCTGCGCTAATCTCAGCTCTGCAGCCCACTCTGTGATGAGAAGCCAGTCTTTTAACCACACCAGGCCTCGGTTTCCTTATCTGTTAAATAGGGCAATAAGACCTGTCCTGGCTGTCTCACAAGATTATTATAAGGATGCTATGATTACATAAACTTTGTACATCCTTTCAAAATTTATAAATGTTAAAAGGAAAAGCTATTTAAAGAAATGTGGTGTTCTTGAGATTGGTTCTGGTGACTTACTCCTTACTAAGACATGTTGTCCTGATGTCCTAGAGCAGGGTCGTATTGGGTTCTTTTTGTGCCCAGGCATTTTACTGTGTAAAATGGAAGTCTTTTGGGGAAGGGGGTCAGCAAAGGCTGGAAGGGGTCTGTTTTTGGGGGAGGGCAATCAGAAGAGTGGAACCTCCAGCCTGGAGCCCCCTTCCCAGGCCTCATGTGGCTCAGGTGCTGATAGAGGATGGCCTTGTTCTCTCTCCAGAACTCTACTATGACCGTGGGAACCACCATGAATTTGTGTCCCTGGTGAAGGACTTGGCCCGGCCTGGCGAGATCACCCAGTCACAGGCCTTCGACTTTGAATTTACCCATGTGGAGAAGCCGTACGAGTCCTACACAGGGCAGAATGTAAAGCTGCGGTAAGTTGTGCCTTCTGCTTCCCTGCTGTGCCCCAGAAGCTGCCCCATGTGGACAAGGACCTGAGGTCGTCCCCCTTTCTAAGGATCTTTATGTGGATCCCAGGAAGGACGAGTATGGTGAGCTACAGTGTGCTGGTAGAGGTTTGACAGTGGGCCCTCTGGGAGGAAAGCTGCCCGATTTCTAGTGTTTGTCAATTTCTGTGGTGTCACTGTCTCCAGCACGACCCATTTCAAGCTACCAACTTGCTGTTCCTAAATGCAGAGGTGGGGGGAGATGTCCACCTTTACATGGCAATACAAAACGTACATTCCTTTAAGAACAAAGAACCATAAAGTGTAGGGAAATAATTAGGAAGCAATGAATTTTTGGTATGTATTACTTTTGTTTTTAAGATCATTCACTGTAAATTTATATGGTTTAACTTTAAATAATGGCCGTGTTAAACAGCCAGGTCATAAAATTCCTGAAAATTCAGCACTGGGCTTTTGCAACCATGCTGGCCCCAGCACGCCAACCACGTGCCATCTCAAGCTCTGGGACTCAGCTTTCTGACTTGGAAAGTGGGTAATGGATTTGGATTCTAATTCTAGATTTGTCCTCTCCTTCTCCTGGGAGTGATAAGAAAATAAACTGTAGCACCGTGGGACAAGTTCTTAAAACATTAATGAAATGGGATTGTTTTTACTGTTCTAGTCTTGGAAACTGAAGATAAGACACTTGCCTGGGTCTCTGGGGTAAAAAAAGTACACAGCAGGGGCGCTGCCTGTGGCTCAGAGGAGTACGGCACTGGCCCTATATGCCAGAGGTGGTGGGTTCAAACCCAGCCCTGGCCAAAAACTACAAAAAAAAATACACACACACACACACACACACACACATATATACAGCGGTATAAAGACTCTTAGATGCAACCTCAAGATTATATGATGTCCCTGGCATAAAGCAGGCCACTCTTTCACTTAGAATACCTGATTCCCAGTCTTGCAAGATCCGCTTGTTTCATCACCTTGGGCCTGAGTTGGTGTAAACTGGTTGGCCTTGGGATGGTGTAAACTAGAGTAAGACCTTGACCTCCCTCTCCTGGTCTCCTCTCTCCCAGCAGAAGACTGTAGGCTCTTCTTTTTAAGTCTTTAGAGAGGTCTGAACACTGACATTACCCCCGGTAAGGACAGTGTTTCATAATTGCACTCAGGGAAGGCAGCCACAGTGATGATTATCTAGTCGTCACTTAAGCGCGACTATGGGATTCATTATTCATTCATTTATTTATTTATTTTTTGCAGTGGATTTGTCTTAGGTGTTTATGTGTCAGAAAGAACAGCGTTGTAAACAGGATGGCCATTCCTCAAAATATTAAACGTAGAATTATCATTTCTGACCCAGCAGTGCTGTTTTTGGTTGTGTATCCAGAAGATTTGAAAGTAGGTCTAAAACAGGGCCCAGGAGGAGGTGGAGAATCCGGATGGTGCCCCTGTGGAGCCAAGGGGAGAGCATCCCAAGAGGAAGAAGTGTTTCACTGACACAAGTAAAAGGCCACTTGATTTGGCCACTGGGAGGCCAAGGTATCCCTTCAGCAGAGCAGTTGGGGATGGAGGAGAAGCAAGGGGCTGGGAGTGGTGGCTAGTGCGCGAGCTGCAGGAGTCAGTACATGTCCTGTCTGGTGGCAGCGGTCTCTGAAGAAGGAAAGGAAAGGACAGGACAGGACAAGAGTGAAAGGCCTGAAGAGGGTTTTGGGCGTTTACTTTGGACCTTTTCAGAAGCTCAAAGGAAGCTTTAACTAGAGAGAGACTGACAATCTTGGGAAAAAAGTATGATCAAATGGTAGATCAAGGGTCCTATGTTAGAATCACTGGGAAACTTTTAGAAGTTCTAATACCTGTGTCCTTCTCCTGAGCAAGTATAAGTCGGATGTGCCTGGACAGCAGGATCTTGAGGGCCTCTCCTTCAGCTGATTCTATGTGCACCCACCCCGAGAGTCCTTGTGCCAGATGGAGGAAAAGGAAAGGTCTTGGGAGTCAGAGGTGCTGGTGCAACAAGGGTGGGTGATGACGCAGAGACGTGTTCAGCTCAAAGCAGAAAAGGGAGAGAACTGTAAAGTTGACCAGGAAGGCCTTCATCTCAGAGTGGAGAGCAGTCGTTGGGATGTGGCCCTCCAGATCCCCAAGTGCAGCCCTTGAGCTGAATCCAAACTTCACAGAACAGAATCCTTTATAAAAAGGATTTGTTCTATAAAAGTTGGATTCAATTGAAAGGCCGCCCACAAAGATTTGGAAGGTCACATGGGGCCTCACGGCTGCAGATTCCCCACCCCTGATGGGGGTGGGGAGACTTGGGAACCTGAGCAATTAGGGATAGATGTCTGGGGCAGTGTGATGGAGGTTACTGAGAGAACAGAAAGGATTGCCAAGAACTCAGTGTCCCATGGAGGACAGTTGCCTAATGGGTAGTGGATGTGGTTAGCGTATCTTTAAACCTGTCTCCAGTAATGCCTGGCAGGCAGTAGGGATTATCCAAGTTTTATTGAGATGAAAACATAATTGAACAGAGATGGGTATTAGCACAGGGTCAAGTCAAGGGGTCAGGGTTACTGGGGAAGGCAGTGCTAAACTGGCTGGCCACGGAGGTTAGGCTTGTCCAACCCTTCCTGGGCTGTGTGTCTGTCAACTTTCTAACTTGTTTCCTACCACAGCCTCCTCCCCAAGGGTCCTAGGTTCAGCCAGAGACCTGTACTCAAACAGACCAGCTCCTCTCTGTCTGTTGTTTGTAAGGTTTGCTGTTTCTGGAATGTCCTTTTCTCTCTCCCGCAGCACTGCACTATCTGAGTTAACCCTCCCCACGTGTCCTAATTGTTTTGTTTATTTGCCCATCTTTCCCCAGTGGACCGTGAACCTCCCAAGAGAGTGTATCTGATTCATGCTATGCCTTGCAGGGTGCTCAGCTCAGTAAATGTCTGCTGAACGCATAGCTGGCTTAATTTTTCCATTCTCCATTCCTCTCTTTTAACTATTAAAAAAGGTTTACTGATGGAATATTGTTAGATGAACAGGTGTGCAAATATAAGAGTATGAAACAAATCCCCCAAACCCAGGAATTTATTGAGGAAATAAAACTCATACACAAATTCATGGTAGATAGTAGTAAGGGCCAGAAGGGCCTCAATGTTAACACACGGCTGGATACAGAGCAGAGGAGGCACTTTGACTTGTAGCAGGGTTCTTAGCTCACAGGCACAAGCTCCAAAAAGTGATTTGGGGAAAGATCTTTGAACTCCCTGAAATTGTAGTTGCAGTATCTTGTATATAGGTGCATATGAGCATTTTTTTCTAAGAGGAGGGTCTATAAATTCAGAAAGGGATACAAGTCCTAAAAGGTTGAGCACCTTGTAAGGGGTTCTCTCAAGTGGGCCAGTTTGGTGCCCATTGCTAGGTAGCATCTGGACCAGTGGTATTTAGTCATGGCAGTCCCATCTCTACAGCTATTTCCTTCGAGCCACCATCAGCCGCCGCCTCAATGATGTTGTCAAAGAAATGGACATTGTAGTACACACGCTCAGCACGTACCCAGAGCTGAATTCTTCCATCAAGATGGAGGTTGGAATCGAGGACTGTCTGCACATCGAGTTTGAGTATAACAAATCCAAGTAAGTGTCCTGGGCCCTACGGCTATGGAATTATTATTTAATTAAGTTAAGATAGGACTTGACCCAGATATAAATCGTGGCACCCCGTGACTCAGCTCCTTCATGGTGACATGCTATGGGGTGAAGACCACAGAAATAGAGCAGTGAATATATGTGTTAAGCTACCTCCAGGTAGACTGACCAGGAAATAAAACTTCATGTGCTTATTAAACTAAGCTACTGTGTTTCCCTGAAAATAAGACCTACCCCCAAAATAAGCCCTAGCAGGATTTCTATGCATTTGTTAAATATAAGCCCTACCCCCATAATAAGACCTAGTGATGGGACATGCTGCATAGCCACGCCATGCATTTTGGCCTGGAGCAGTAAGGAAGACTGGAATATCTTTCAACTGCCACAGCCCCTTTCTCTGAGCCATTCGCACTTGCGCGGGTGTGCATATGATAACCGTGGTCGCAGGCATCCTATTGCACACGTGCAAATGGCTTGGGGAAAGGAGTTCACACGTCACCAGTGCCAGCCCCACCAACAAGGTCGGCTCCCCCTGTCAGTTCCCGAAGATGACTTAACTGTATTTGAATAAATGTAGATTGTTGTATTATGCTTAATAAAAATAAGACATCCCCTGAAAATAAGCCCTACTGTGTCTTCTTGAGAAAAAATAAATATAAGACAGTGTCTTTATTTTCGGGGAAACACAGTATGTTAATTTAAGGTGGTGTGTTTAAGTTAAACATCCCAGAATGCCTTGCAAGGTCAAGCTGAACCAACTTGAAGGCTATTTATGTTGAATTCTGGGTGCAGCTCTTTCCTTCTGCCGATGAGAATAATGTCAGAATGCCATTCTATGATCATTTGTTTCCTCCATATGTGTCTTCAGAAATCAAAATGAGGAAACCAAACACTGGCCACAGTTGGCCGCTTCCTCCCTAAACTTCCTCCCTAAATTGGAGCAAAGAATACCTGATACATTTTTTTGTCTTGAAGTAACTTTAACTAGCAATGTCAGAAATACATAATTGGGAAATGTGTATATTTTAAACAATGTTTACTGTTAGATCATCAAAATATTTTACTGTGTATAAGTCACAGTTTGACAATTTCATTGATACGCTTATGATGCACTTATGACGCATTCCGGAAAAGGTTGGAAATCAGACATCCAAGTGTAAAAGGGGCGTTCTCTTCAGAGAGCTAGAAATCCCCACAGACTCTCTGTTGAGGGCGTTCACCATGGTGTCCCCAGGCCCAGTGGCATCCAGAGGCTGGGGCAGTGGGAACTGCACCAGGTGGTTCACCTTTGAAAGGGGCTAGAAACTTGGTTCCTGGAATAGGGGTGAACAAAAGGTGTGTTTTTTCTGCTGACACCTGGCCTGAAACCCAGGGGCCCCAGTAAAATGACCACTGTGACCCCAAACCACCCCTGCTTGGCCCAACCGCACCTGTGGAACAGAGGGTGGGTGGGGCAAGCTGGAAGGGTGCCGGTCTGGGAACTGGCTCTTCCCCTTTCTCAGCCTCGGAGCTGACCTCCCTCTAGTGCCCCAGCTACCTGGGGAGGGCAGCAGCTGGCACCCTGCCACCTGTAAGAACTCAGAAGAGCCCCTGGCCCACAGTGCGTGCTAGACCAGAGCGAGTGTGGAAACAGGGACAGGACCTTCCAGATGGTGCGTCTCCTTGTGCAACAGGAGAGACAATTGCAAGTGTCCAATTCCTACGTCCCGCCTAACCTGGGACTTGGAATCGGGTCCTTTTCTGCCACTAATGATTTTACCTCAGTTTTTCATCTGGAAAATGAGGAGTTTGGACTGGGCCAGTGGGTTTCAGACCCACACAGAAGGGATGAGAAGGAGGAGGCTCTGGGTGTGGTGGCTTGAGAAGTCCCACCAAGACCAGCTTTTTATGTCTCTGATGTAGGTGTGCTTCTGTGTAAGACTTCATGTAGAGCAGGAAAGTTCAGTTCACAAAAGTTTGCAAACCTCTAGACTCGATGGTCTCAGAGCATCCCCCCAAAACGCTGCAGGTGTACTGAGGTTGTCTGCCTGGCATGTCCACAGTCTCCTCCAGACACTTATCAGCAGAAAGGTGGTGGAAAATAGAGGGGCGCACTCCAACCAGGAACCGGGTGCATACCTGACCCCACTCACATTCCAGTCAAGTTATTGATCCTCTTCACACTCCCATTACCTGTTAACACCAGGAGGCTGAATTCTAAGTCCCTGTCAGCATTCATTTCCCATGAGCTGAGCTTAAGGTTTGACGATTTCTGCCCTGCCTAAAACAGGGCTGTGCACATGAGGACTACCAGTGCTACTGACCCAACGAGAAAAGCATGAAGCTGTTCTGCAATGTGGCTGACTTCCTGCTGGCCCGCAGAGCCAGACGGCAGGCCCTGCTGCAGACGGTGGTCTGCTTATCTTGCTCCACTGCTCCGGCCTGGCCTGCCCAGCCCAGAGCAGACACCCCTATGTGATGCGAGCCAGTCCCCAAAACACATACGGGGATTAGAGAGGCCGGGAGAGACTAGTTCCCGCATTCATGGGACTGGCCTCTCATATAATAAGAGTATAAAAACATACACAAATAAAAAAGGTTCAGAAGGAAGCCACATGGCCAGAAGACAGAGCTAATGAGCAAACATGATCAAGTGAGGCATCACACAGGCAAGACGTCCTTTGCTTTGGAGGTGGAGGAATAGCAGAGTGGAAGTCAGTTACTCAGGTAACCTGAGACCCAGTGGAGACCTGTCCTGCCGCAGCAGTGAGGGCGGGGAGGTGGGCGTGCGCACGCTGGAGGGAGCTGTGACTAGCCCACACGTGTGCCGGGCGGGGCTGCACTGAAACTGCCCCACTGTGTTCCTTTACTTTCCGCGTCCAGGTACCACTTGAAAGATGTCATTGTAGGGAAGATCTACTTCCTGCTGGTGAGAATCAAGATCAAGCACATGGAGATTGACATCATCAAGCGGGAAACGACAGGCACGGGCCCCAACGTCTACCACGAGAACGACACGATAGCCAAGTACGAGATCATGGACGGGGCGCCCGTGCGAGGTGAGCTCCCGGCCCACACCGTTTCCCTAGGCCCTGCACAGAGTTTTAGAGGAGTTTGAGGGATCACGTTGCCAAAATAAGACACGCTATTAACCTGTAATTTCTTAAATTCTCATCATGTGCTGTGGGTGTCTATAAGAGGCAACAGAAAACTGGGTATGTGCAGCTTTGGGCTCCGACTTCACCATCACCCTGAGAAGTTCCCTTCTGGCCTCGTTTATGTGTTGGGCTTGTACTTGAGATTTAATCTCTGGGCACGCTGGTCATGCCTGTGAACCTAGCACCTTGGGAGGTCAAGGGGGCAGGATTGCTTGAGGCCAGGAGTGTGAGACCAGCCTGAGCATGTAATGAGACCCTGCTCTCTACAAAAAATAGAAAAATTAGCCAGATGTGGTGGCGAGAGTAGTCACACCTACGCAGGAGGCCAAGGCTAGAGGATCATCCTTTGAGCCCAGGACTGAAAACTTGAGTAGACTACGATGATGCCACTGCACTCTAGCCCCGGGCGACAGAGTGAGACCCTGTCCCCACAAAAGAAGAAAAAAGGATTTAATCTCAAGAATTATGCCTATTAAAAAAATGAAAAAAAAAGTTTGAATAGTCCTGGCTTAGCAGATAAAGTTTGGACATTTTACCACTTTTTTCTGACTGACAATCTAACATTCTCTCAGGCTCAGGAGCAAGGAATTCATGTATAGTCATCATTTTTGTGACTTAGTTCTAACTCTGGTAAAATCATTCATTCTCTGAATTCATTTGGCAAGTATGAAAGAGCCCTACTAGACACTGGGGCCAACGTTACCAGGTGCTGCACCAGCACCGGGAACTCGAGGGAGGTGGTCTTCTCCCATGCCCGTGGACCTAACGTTGGATCTGCGGTAAGTGGAGTTGAGAGGGCCTTGTAATTTAGGGACTCTGTGTGATTATTTGGAAGGACAGTCGTTTACATTCTGCACTGGCTCTGGAGCACTCAGTGATGAAACGTGCCTCTTCTCACTTTGAAGTGGTTGGTGCTTCCAAGGTTTTCTTCAGTCTATTCCGTGTGGAAGGAGGAAAGTCACAGTGGGGTCACCCGGGAGCTTTCAGCAGATTGCGGGGTGTGGGGTGGGGCCAGGTTTCCCAGCTCGCTCTCACGTCCTACTTTTTCACCGGCTGTGCAAGTAGAGCTAATGGTCACTCTTCCCCTGTCAGTGAAATGGGGCACTGAGAAACAATACAGAACAGCAGGTCATTAAAAGATCCGGTATATTTAGCCTCCGATTACATTATAGTCTGGGCCTTTCCCAGTAGAATTACTGCTCTAATTTTGTTCCACTTATACTGGGAAAGGTGATGTTAGAGCTGGAAGGGACCTAAAATATGAACCCAGCCTGATTCTGTAATTCTCCACATGAGAAATTTAGGGTCCAGAGAAAGCAGCAGACTTACTCTCAGGAGCCACACCACGGGTTAACAGACAGCCAAGAAGTTTGTTTCCACACCCACACCACCCTGCCAATCCATATTAGCGTGGGGGTGCCTTTGGGGGGCATCCACTGATTAGGGTAGAAGGGGATGGCATTGAACCTGGTAGGCGATATGGTGAGTTAGCTGGACTCGGACAGCTGCCTCTTGGGAGCCCCGGAACTAGACACACTGCATGGAGTGGAAAGACGTTTAACAGCAACATCCCCGTGCTGTTCCCACTCATCTGCTCCCGGTTTCAGAGAGGACCTTTGGAAGCAGCTTCAAGACCTGGAATAGAATTAGAGAGTTTTGTTTCCACTTCAGCAAACTGCTGGGCAGCAGAGGGCAACTTCCCCAAATCACTGGTTTCAGGGTCTGTGCCACACTCAGGGTAGCATCTCTGCCGTTGTCAGAGACCGACTTGGTGTGAGGCCGAGTGGGTCACTTTGTGCTTTGCTCTTATTCCTGCCCCCCTCTTACAGGTGAGTCCATCCCCATCCGTCTCTTCCTGGCGGGGTATGAGCTCACACCCACCATGAGGGACATCAACAAGAAGTTCTCCGTGCGCTATTACCTCAACCTGGTGCTGATAGACGAGGAGGAGCGGCGCTACTTCAAGCAGCAGGTGAGGCCCGGGTGTCCCCTCCAGGCCCCACATGCCACGGGGACAGAACAGGAAGGTGGACCCTCCTGTGGAAGCAGAGAGGTACCGGGGAGAGAGCGTCTAAGTCCCTAGGCCTCTTGTTATTGTACCGAGGGGCACATCAGAGTGCCCAGCATCCCCCAGCAAGCATGAACATCCCAATTGATACCAGGATATCAGCTTCCTCAGGCCTAGCTCCCACCACACCTGCCCTCTGGCCATGCTCTGGCAGCTGCTGCCCTTGTTAGAGATAAGCAGATGAGACTTCTGCCCAAGATTCCCCAGGACAAAGCTGGGAGCCCCTGGGAAGCCCCTCCTGCACATCCCTCTCAGGTGTCACCTTGCCCCCTCACCCCAATTCTACAGGAAGTTGTGTTGTGGCGGAAAGGCGACATCGTACGGAAGAGCATGTCCCACCAGGCAGCCATTGCCTCCCAGCGCTTCGAGGGCACAACCTCCCTGGGTGAGGTGCGGACCCCCAGCCAGCTGTCTGACAACTGTAGGCAGTAGGCCCCCAGGGCCGCGCGGCTGCTGGGCTTCCACCACGGCACCCACCCACCAACACCAGTGGCAGATTGGGGGGAGGGCCGTGTGAGGCTCAGCGGCCCGTTCTTTGCAACCTGAAAACAAATCATGTTTTTGACTTAAATTCTTTTCTCTGAAGAACCTGAGGGGCTTGGGTTGGAAAGGGACTTTGTGGCTGATGGGGCACAGGGAGAGGTGGCATCCTGGAGGCCAGTCTCTTGGGAAGAGGAGCCTTCTGTGGGCCCTCCTTGCCGGGTGGCTCTGTGTCTTACAGGAGAGCAGAGCACACATCACTGGCTCTGGGCTCTCTAAGCTTCCTTGCATGGGAGCTGAGTGTGTCCCTGGAATTCTGAGCTGCCGATAGGGCCCTCCACTCCACTGTCCCTGAGGTAGTGGCTGAAGGAGTTGGGCCTGTCCCGTCCTGAGTGCAGGGTAACACTCGAGATCAGGAAGCTCCCTCTTGAGGGTTCTTGGATGTGGTGCTCTGAAGTTTCCAGAGGCCACTTTCTTTCTGGCCTCTGACTGCTGGGACCCAGGGACATCCCTTCTCCATCTTCTCTGAATTGTCAGTAACATCGTGGGAGAGAAGCCTGTGGAGGGGCCTTGGGTACAGGGCAGCCCTGGGTCAGTGTCATGCATGAGTGGCTGCAGTGTTGGACCCAGGAGCTGAGCCAGGCCCGCTGAGGAAGATCAGTGCAAGGCAACTGTCTGCGTTCTTAAGACTTCACCGGCCACCTGAGGTCTGGGTTGTTCTAGGGTATTGCTCCATGTCCCCAACAAGCCCTCAGCAAGAGGGTCTATTTCCTTTAAGAAGAGATCCCAGGAAGGGGCTGGGACCCTTTTGCCTCCCTGAGAGTGGTCCTCATCTCTCCCCGCCCTCCACTTGGTTTCAAACACTTGCAAATTTTATTCTTAGTACCGCCCCTTCACCCCTTCACTCCTCTCCCTACGTGTTAAGGGAGGATGATGAGGGTTTCAGCAGAAGACTCTGCTACCGCAACTTGAGGATAATTCTGCTTGCCAAATTACACCTTCATCCTCGCCAACTAACCAGGTCCAGGACTGTTGGTTTAGTTTGAAAACACACATACAAAAGCTTGGTAGATGTTCTTGTCACCCCAGAGAGGAGGGCAGTCCCCCCCTTGTTGTCCTGGGCTGCGGCCTGGGGTCTACAGTAGTAAAAGTGTGTTCTTGTCACCCCAGAGAGGAGGGCAGTCCCCCCTCCTTGTTGTCCCGGGCTGCGGCCTGGGGTCTACAGTAGTAAAAGTGTGTTCTTGTCACCCCAGAGAGGAGGGCAGTCCCCCCTCCTTGTTGTCCCGGGCTGCGGCCTGGGGTCTACAGTAGTAAAAGTGTGTTCTTGTCACCCCAGAGAGGAGGGCAGTCCCCTCTCCTTGCCCCAGGCTGCAGTAGTAAAGGTGTTTAGTGTCCTCTTCTGCCTTGTCTGGGAATGACAGGAACTTCTTCTCCCCTCCCTTCCCTTTACAGGAAGACCAAGCAGATCCACTGGCCAATTAGTACCATGTCTAGTGGTCTGAATTCTCTGTAATTTGCAAAGTAGACTCCTTGGTTCCTGTGCCACCTTTTAGTAAGTGGGAAATAGGATTCCTCCTTTCCTCAGAAATCTGTGCAGTCTGGCCTTTGACTGGACAGTGTTCATGGATCAGAGCTGAGACTGGAGGGAAAGGCATGTGGGGGTGATGTCTGCAGATGACTGGGGACAGCAGAACTGAAGAAGGTGAATTTGCTTCTCCCATGCTGGACCCTGAGTTCAGATGAGACACACAATCCCCATGGGAACAAGACCCCCCTCCCCCAGCTGCCCTTGGATTACCAAGGTTGGGGCCTAAGTGTAAGAGGGGGGCAGGTTCTGGGTTCCTTGCTTTTTTCAGAGCATGAGGTGAGGCTTTGGTGTGCCTCCTTTTTTAATAGCTGGTATTCTAACTAGCAGCATTCATCAGTTCCTCTGCCTCCCAACTAACAACACAAATTCATTGTCCAACTTTCCTCACATCTTAACCTGGGAGAACTAGAAGAGTTTACTTTGATTCTCTTAGGCGCTGAGCAAAAGCCAGCTGTTGTTTTCTCTTACACTCTCCCCATTCTCCCCTTCTCTGTCAAACTGTGAGAGGCTCCTGCCTCCGCCCCTGAAGGTCCCCCAACCTGGGAGTGCACAGGTACTAAACCAAGCAGTGCAACTTGGAGTTAAGCAGCTGCAGTGTTTACATGTTTCTTAACGTGTCATCTTTTCAATGGCTGTATTTTCAAAGAACACTTGTTTTAATAGTCTGATTAAAGGAAGCCCCTGTGGCTTTGGGGGCATTGTGCCCTGGGTCCACCAGGTTCTGTGGTCTTGTCTACACCACCCACTGCTGACATCAGGGAAGGACAGACACCCGCCCCGACTCCCAGCACAGCACCTGCATGCTCAGTGCTCAGTCTCTGGTGAACAACTATGTGGACAAAGCGGACAAATGAGTTTAGGTTTTACCCCTATCTGGTAACTTGTCCTGAAACTGCTCATAGACTGTTTAAACCTTTGTGAGGTGAGTGAGTCACCAGGTGACTTCAGGGGTAGGTGAGCGAGGCTGTGTAGAAAGGCTCAGTGTTAACGACACTGAGTCTCAGCCTCCTCCTGCTACGTGTGAAACGGGAGGACAGAGCCCTACACCTTGTGGAGTGGCAGAAGGAGCCCGCCCGGAAGCAAGAGATCGCACTGGAGTATTCTGCACCCAATGTGGTTTTAGAAGAAGAAAACTTTCAACTCTGATATCAATGTTTTATTGAAAAAAGTACACAAAACCACCTACGTACACAAGTCCAGGTGAACGTAACAAGTAAGCCTTCTTAAACCATCTTTTGTCTTAAAAAACCTTGAGTCCTCTGGAGTAACGCCCTGCCCATCCTGGCAGTATTGTCTCAGTTAGCGTGATTCCTTTTCTTCCAGACTCAAAATAAAATCAAACTCTTCTACCAAAAAGGGAAGAGAAGGGACAATTAGGTTTTATGTCTCCTCTTGAACAGGAGAGTTACACAAGGCACAGGTACTTCATAAGTTACTAAGGCAGACAATCAGTCCTTCAAAAACTCTGGTGTTTCTCACCAAGTGCCAGACACTGTTGGGTACTAGGTTCACAGTGAACAGTATCCTGGGAATATCCCTCCTTCATGGGTGTTACAGGTGAAGGTACTGATTCAGGTTAAAATATCGTGCTCCCATCTACTCAGCTAGCGAATAGGAATTCATGGGGTCATTGTGGTCTGTGGATAATACAGTAAAGGACTCACTCTTCTTACCTTGGGTCAGGGGCTGAACGGAGAGTCTCTGGCGAGTGAAAAGAGCCATATTTTTTAAGGGGCCACCAGTGGCTTTGTGAGCTTGATGATAGGTTTTGAGCTCAGCTAGGGGGATGAAACGCTTCATCATCCGAACAAATTGGACATCCACCTATGTGACAACAGTGTACATGACAGAAAGACATGTCCAGCCAGACACTGCCCCCTTTTCACCTGCTTACAGGTGGCCCCTCTGCAGACACCAGTGTCCTGCTCCCACCTCCAGTGTCAGCGTAACCTCATCTGAGGAAGGGCTGGGCTGCCTTGACCTAAAGCTACCCCAGACCCTTTACCTCCCTTTGTCTATCCTTCCCCTCTCATGAAACAGGAAGAATAGTCTTACCATGGACCATTTAGGGCTGTCCTCTTTGCTGGAGGGATCATAATAGGGGCTGTTTTTATCAAACTGTGTGTGGTCTGGGTAGGCTTCCTTCACAATCTGAAACCAAAACCACAGTCTCCAACCGTGTGCCAGAACAGTTGGCTCCATAGTCAGTCTTTAGTCTCATTTACCCTGCACATTCTTAGCCCTTCTGCCTTGCTGTAGAGCCCACAAGGGCTCATATACATGGAAACAGTATATTGTATACAGTCTAAGGCAAACACAATTAGGAAATCAACCTTATTTTTACAAATCTTAGAAGCACATTCTAAAACTGAACAGTAAAAGTTATTACTGGTACCACTGGGGTTTTTTCCCACAGTCTATTTTATCCTGAAAATTCCTGGCTTGGAAGAACCATCAGGCCTGTTTCTGAACGAGATCAGGGCTGAGAAACAGAGATAGGTCTTTGCTAGTGGGACCTGAAATGAAGGCCCACTTTGTTCAAGTCTTGCCATACAGGAACCAGGACAGGTTTCCCTAGTCCTGGGACAGGGTACAGGTGGGGGGTACTTCTTTTCTGTTACCTACTTAAGCTGTATCACTTTATGTCTACAAGAGTAAGTCTCCAGAGGGAAAAGGCTGCAAATCAAAACCTGTAAATAACCTTCATGAGTCCTGCGATGCCGGGCTCTTTGCAGTTGCTGTGGTAGAAGAAAGCTGCTTCCTCCAGCTTCATGGCTCTAAGGAAGTTCCGAGCCTGCCCCAGAAGAGAAGAAACAAGAATCACCCTCCCTGGAAAGTAGTAGCTTTTACGGGAAACCGAGTCTGCTTTCATTAGTTGGGTTTTTCTTTTTTGCATCCTCTCTTCGATTTATAAGAGAGTTGTTCCCTTTTTCCAAGACACCCAGACTTACACCCCCAGGAGAAGTGGTCAACTGCAAATTTCATGTAGTCAGAGTAAAAGGTGGGTTTTAATCCATTTTGGGGTCTAGCTTCTGGGACAAGGCAATCCTGGCCAAGAGGTTCTGCTATTAAATACATCATAAGGAGGAGGGAGGCATGTATCCCTTGAGTCTCAGGAGTCCTATTTCCATTCTTACCTGGTAGTTGCGAACACCATCCCAGCATGTCGTCTGCTTAGGCTGTGCTTTGAGATCCTCAATGCCAAACTAGGAAAGAAGAAATAACATTATTCATTCAATATTTGGTGGCCAGTTGGTAAGAACGTATGGAAGCAGACGGTTCCCTCCAGTACATGGAGAGATGCTATTGGAAAGAGCAAGGAGGTATTAATAATTCACTGGCAAGCAGCCCCACAGAGCCATTTATGTTGGCCGAATACAAGTAAGCCTTATCTTCTTATCCTTGCCAATTAAGAGGATTAGCTGCATGGATAATCCAGATGATAAAGTAATCTTCTGGTTACATGCATTTCACTTGTTAAAGTATTATGTATTAAGTAATATTTCTACTTATAGTTTTCTCAGGTTATGTTAAAATTGGTTTATTAATATAGTCATCCCCTAAATATATCCCAGCTGTTGGCAAGGAGATACCTAGAAGACTTGGCAAGCGGTGAGAGACACAATCTCAGGCTTAGGCTGGCAAATTATCAGGCCCAAATCTAGCTCCATCCCTGATTCTGTAAATAAAATTTGACTTGAACACAGCCACACACCTGTTTACACACTGCTTATAGCTACTTTTGTGCTATAAGAGCAGGTTTGCAACAGAAACTATACAACCTACAAGCCTACAATATCTACTGTCTGACCCTTTGTAGACAACCTTTGCTGACTCTTGTCCTACATAGAGGATTCACAAAACCGATAGTTAATGGTAAAACATCCTGCTGATTTTACCTTTTCCTCAAAGATAAGCAGGTGTTGGAGCCCTATGGTGTTCCATAGTCACTTCTTATTTAAAAAGAAAAACAACAGCATGAAGGGCCTGGAGACAGGTGTGTGGTCTCACCTTCACGTCTACTCCTTTCTCTAATCGGCTCTCTGGCTCAGACTTCATTAGCCAGTAGCTGCTTAGGCTCTTCACACAGTTTTTAGAGGCTGAAGTCTTCTGAGGGCCGGAGTCCTCTATGTTAGCGGATGCCTGCGCTGCATCCTCAGTTTTGGTACGTTTTCCTGATAGCTTCTTCTTGTCTGCAAGAGACCCACAAAGAAAAGATCCATCGTGCTTGTTGGGGGCTGGTGTTCCACGGTGGAAAAAGCCTACACTTTAGAGTCAGATTTGGACTCAAATCCTGAGTGTATCAACTACCTTAACCTTACCTTAAAGAAACTTCATTTTCTTATTTATAAAAGTTAGACAAGAGTACCTGCCTTCCAGGGTTGTTTAGGATTAAAGGCTTTGCAGTAGCCAATAAATGTTTTCCTTCCCTCACTCTCTTCTATGCCTTTGCTCGGGCTATGTATTCCAGTGAGAAAACGGAGCAGTTTTGAAGATAAAATGAGACAATACAAAGGGCTTAGACACCGCCTGGCATTACAATAAGTGCTTAATAAACAGCCATTATCATCATCATTCACACTTTTTGTTCACTGTGCTTTATGGTCTGCCTTTCTGCTCCTTGAAGGTGCCAAAATAGGATAGAAAAAAAAACAGTACATTTAGGACCTTACAGTAAAGACTTGGTCATAGCGGGCACTCGAGAGCTAAGTTGGTAAGTTCTTATATCACAGGCCCCAAGCTCTCTGTTATTTAAACCCTAATTCAGTTAATCTGCATCACCTATGAGATGTATTCTTCCTCTGCAAAATGTACTCCAGATCACGCATCCAGGAAAGAGAGAACCAAGATGAAGAGGTCAGTACCGGTCATTGAGGTCTACCTAAAATCTACACTTAATGACTACACTGTACTACCATGGCTCCCTAACCCCCAAACAGGATAAACCTGGCCAGAACTGGCCCAAACCAGTCTGGTCCACGGCCTGTTAGGAACCAGGCCAGGGGCAGGAGGTGAGTTGGGGGATAGGGAGCAAGAGTGCTTGGGGCTAGCTGAGAGTGTAAACTGCACGTTCCAGGTGAGAGGTCTAAGCTGTGTCCTCCTTGTGAGTCTGACGCCTGCTGATCTGAGGTGGAGAAGGTTCTTGAATCGTATCAAAACCATCCCCCCTTTTCCCATCTGGGGAAACTGTCTTCTATGAAACTGTGTCCTGGTGCCCCAAAGGCGGGGACCGCTGCTTATATGACATCACATCAATTGTCATCAAGTATCATTTACGATGTCTACCGCTCTGCACCCAGGATACCTTGCCAGCCTAATTTCCTAGGTCTCTTAAGAGTAAACATGCACACTGCAAACACCAAGTGCTGTTAAATAACGATGTTCTGTAGTCAATCTGGAATTCTTGCCATTCCCAAAAGAGGCACTATCCCTACCTTCCATTGCTTTGTTCTTCCTCTGCATCTATTGTGAATGCCATCCGTCCTTGGAATATAAAATGATAATCATGTTTTCTGAGTACTAAAACTTTGGTCATGTAAAGTCCTCCCCTTCCTCACGGCTAGACTCAAATTCCATGTCCTTTTCAAGACCTTCCCTGTGATTACTCCCTCCTTTCACACATGTGACAATCCAGTCTCTTGGACCCTGTCATTTAAATCTGTTTTTGCATTTTCCCTGACGGCAGGAACCGTATATTCTTTGCCATGGCACATGCCGCCCTGTACAGCAAATTTGAGCGTAACAAACAGCTTTTGCTTGAATGAACGAAAAAGCAGAGACTCTGGGTAAAAGCTTGGTGGGGAAAATAACGACAGAGGGCGATAACGGATGAAGGAATAAGAAATCACGAAGGATTCTCCCCACAAGGAGGGAGTGGAATATGAACCGTAGTAAACAAGCCCTGGAGAAATGTCCGTACGGGGCTGCCTCTTTGCAGCCTAAGGGCAGCTCACCTGGGCCAGCAGCCGCAGCCAGCCTCTTCTGGGGTCTCGGCATGGTATTCCAGCGAGAAACTAAAGTGCGGAAGATTTTGGACTCAACCGAGAGATACAAGAAGTAAAGCTACTACCCTCAAAACTTAACGCAGAGCAAGATGGAGGCAACGAGGGGAAGCCTGGAAAGTCTCAGACCTTTGCAAAAAATAAATAAATAAAAGACTTAGCTTGAGCCCCTCAAATCCCCCCTCCGGGATCTACACCGTTCCCATGTCGCACAGCCTGCACCTACACCCCTCGGTTCCTGCCGGTTCTACGCGCCAGCCGCGCAGGTACCCGCTCACGCGACGCGCCAGCGGCGTGCGCGCCGCGCTGGGGACGTGTCTGTGCGGCGCTGGCCGCGGGGCACCTTGGGAGTTGTAGTCCTGCGCCCGGGCGCCTGCCGGGAGCCGGCCGCGAGGCCTGCGTGTGGACTACAAGCCCCAGGGTGCGCCGGGCTGCGGGCCGGGCCCGCGCGAGTTTGGCGGAGGGTGAGGGAGCCCGGAGCCAGACTGGAACAGGACCGGGACGATGCTGGCGAGCGGCTGCCTGCACCTCCGGGCGCGCCTCGGCCACCTGCGCAGGGGGCTCCGGGGCCCCGCCCTGACCGGCCGCCGGAGCGTGACCTCCTGCATCGATCGTAAGGCCCTCCCTGAAGTGCGGGGACCCAGGGGGCCGGGGCTCGGGCGGGCACCCGCTACTCGGATAACTTAGCTTTCTGGTCACCCTGGGAGCCTTAGAGAAGGGCAGAAACGTGACTTTGGTGTTGTCTGGTTGAATGATTGATTCTTAAAATCATATCAATGTAGTAAAAGTAGTGAGAATGTAAAAAGCTGGTGCTGGTGGTGGTAGATAAAAACTCCAGGGTTAATATAAGATTCGGTTGCCTTTGTACGGAGGGTGCCAAAAAATACACATATTTTAATAAAGGAAATAACTATTAAAGTTGTAATACTTAAGTCACATTCGACTTATGCGATTACAAGAGACACAAGATGTATCATATACAAGATGACAAACGTTATCTGCATATATTATTATAATTTTAACATTTTTTCTTTCTTGAAATATGTATACATATTTTGGCACCCTCTGTAGATTTTGTAACCTAACACCTATAGGTATAAAACACTGTTGAAACTCAGGCAGGAAGAATAACTGTTATAAGTGGGAAACTACTAGAGATTACAAACTTGCATGTTTTTAGGCAACAGGCAAATAATTTGAATATAATAAGGAATGTTGGGAACCTAGGCAGATTAAAGGATAACTGGCCAGTTTGTGACTTCTTTCAAGCACCTGACCCCCCCCCCTTTTTTTTGTTATGCAATGTTTTAAAATTTGCTTTAAGGCTTGGCACTGGCCACACGCACGGAGGCTGGCAGGTTCTAACCCAGCCTGGGCCAGCTAAATAACAATGACAACTGCAACAGAAAAAAAATAGCCAGACATTGTGGTGGGCGCCTGTAGTCTCAGGTACTGGGAGATTGAGGAGAGAGAATTGCTTAAGCCCAAGAGTTTGAGGTTGCTGCGAGCTATGACACCTTGGCTCTCTACCTAGGGTGACATAGTGAGAGTTTGTCTCAAAAAATAAATAAGTAAAATAAAATTTACTTTAAACAAATAACAGCTTTCTTTATAGCAGAATAAATCTCTTAGATTGACAGATCTATAAAGTACACTAAGGTATAGAATATTATTTTCTTTTCAGTGTCCTAAAACTCCTTCAAAAGGTGGTGCCCTGTTCTCCTACATAAAATTATGTAAACAAGGTCACCATTGTTGATACCAAAGCAGATAAGGACTTAAATGGTCCTATTTTTCTTTTTTTTCATCTTCCACTTGAGCTACTGTGGAATAAAGTTTTCCTCATTTCATTTGGACTGGTTTTCTATTTAGCTTTACCTTTTTAGTGTGTTGGCAACTTGAGCTCAGCCAGTATCTCTGGCAAAGTTCACGAGACCTGGTGATTGTTTCATTTGTATAGTGTATTTTTTTCTAGGAGCATAAGTTTGTTACTTAGTCTCATATTTTCCTGTATATAATTTACCTTTTTTTTTTTTTGTATAATTTACTTTTTAACTTACTTCATTCACTTTTTTTCCCCAAGCAGTATTCTCCTTTTGTTAATCATTCTTTTTTCTAGAATGAACTGTATTTGTTATCTCTCTGAAAGGAAAGCGTAATTATGTTCTGTTTACTTGTGCTTATGATTTTGTGTGAAACTAATCCTTGTTACTTACTTAGAATGCAATTCAAAGTTATTTCTTAAATTCCTTGAATTACTATTTTTAGGAAGCAGTCATTTACAGAAGAACTGTTAACATGTATTGACCTCTTACTAAGATTGAAATTGTGTAGCACTTCTGTTTACTTTGTTTCTATTTATGTGATCCTTGGTGTGAATGGACCATAGTCTTCTTTGTAACTCCAGCACTGCTACTTAGTAAATACTCAATAAATATTCTTTGGGGAATGATCTTTGAGTGATGGTCTATAGCAGCAAGATTGTGTGAATAAATGACCTGATTCCCAGAGAACCATTAATCATTTATCCCTAACGATATACCCAACAGAGGTTTCTGCTCTAAGCTTCTCAAGGCAGCCTAATCCTTACTCCTCACTACTCGTCTTTCTTGAGTTTCCCATTTTGAGGAAGGGTACTGATCTCAGACAGAGTGCTATCTCCTGGCTCACACAGACAGACAGCCAATGCCCAGGTTTGCCCCAGAGAAACAGGTGTTGCCTGTTTTTTTTTTCTTTATGTGTGTGACAGGGTCTCACTTTGTCACCCTCAGTAAAGTGCAATGGCATCATAGCTCACAGCAACCTCAGACTCTTAGGCATAAGCGATTCTCTTGCCTCAGCCTCCCAAGTAGTTGGGACTACAGGTGCCTGCCACAACACCCAGTTATTTTATTTTATTTAGAGATAGGGTCTCACTCTTCCTCAGAGTGGCCTGGAACCTGTGAGCTCAGGGCACTCCACCCGCCATGAGCCCGGCACTGGCCCCTTCGCCTGTTTTCTTTAGAGGACTTTGCATTCCTGGAAGGCACAGAAATAATTATTGGGAAGTGTGGCTCCCTAGTTTTCCTTTGTGCTCTTCAGCATTGCTTATAATGACAGAGTTTTACCACTTGCTACCCTCAGGGCTGCAAGTGTGTTTTAATAAGTGGCTGGGGTAAGAGGTGTGAGGAAAGTCCCACGTTTCGCTCCATTAGGTCCACTGTGTGAGCCTCGTGGTTCTTTGCCGTACTCTTCCTTAACCCCTGTCCTAGAACTGAGCATGGTTAACCCTGCCCACAGCTTCCATGGGACTGAATGAAGAGCAGAAAGAATTCCAGAAAGTGGCCTTTGACTTTGCTGCTCGGGAGATGGCTCCAAATATGGCCGAGTGGGACCAGAAGGTAGGTAGGCGTTACCATCCTGATGGGTAGGAGTTCCAACCAATGCCTTGTGCAGTGACCTTGTCCTCATCTCCATGTAGTCCTAACTGATCAGTGTCAGCTTTCCCTGCAAGTGAGATAAATGATCATGGATGACACCTGTCGTAGAAGACGTTCTTATCATCTTGTAGATACCTTTTTTTTTTTTTAATTGAACAAAGACTTCGACATGAAACCAAGACAGTTCTATAGATAAGAAACATTGTAATGCCAGAAAAACAATTCTTACAGAGCACATCCTAACAGATGTTGGTGTAAGACAAGCAGGCATGTTAGGAGAATCCCACATGCAGGCAGCTCACCCTCTAGAGAAACCCCCAGCTCTGAGTCGTTCCTGCTGCTGTTCTCTCTTGTACGTAGGAGCTGTTCCCAGTGGACATGATGCGCAAGGCGGCCCTGCTGGGCTTTGGCGGGATCTATGTGCGCACAGATGTGGGTGGGTCTGGACTGTCCCTGCTCGATACCTCCGTCATCTTTGAAGCCTTGGCTACAGGCTGCACCAGCACCACAGCCTATATAAGCATCCACAAGTGAGTGCCCAAGCTTGGAGAGCGCAATGAAGAGCTCACACGGATGGAAATTTCAGATTCATAGAGATGAGATTGGCATTTTCAGGCCAATGGTCCTTGAGGAGCTAGACTGAGAGTACACACCAGGCCTCCTCCTGCCTGTTGGGCTTGATTCTGTTGTCTTGTGCATCGCTTAGGGAATTGGGGCAGCCAGCCTTCTCCAGAATCCTACAGGGAGCTAGTACAGCAGCCTTCTCCAGTAGAGTGGTCAGGGTCCTGGCACCCTTTTCCTCAACCCAGAGATGGACCCAGCAGTGATCTGAGAGAGTGACAGGAGTGCCTGCATAGCATAACAGATTGTTAGGGGCTCATGGAGCCTCTGTAGAAGCAGGGGGAGCATCCAGGTGTGAGTAGCTTGACCCCGGTTCTCTCTGGATGGCGCATCTTCCAGGAGTATGTTTTAATCCCGTCCTTTCCCTCCGAGTTGACTTCTCACTTGTGATTTTCCTTCCTGCTCTCTCTCTCCTGCCGCCCTGCCCTTTGTCCTCTTTCCTGTCCCCCCATTTCCTTTTCTCTTGCACCCCTGTTTCTGCCAATGTCTTTTCTTGTGGCCTGCTATCAGCATGTGTGTCTGGATGATTGATAGCTTTGGAAATGAGGAACAGAGGCACACATTTTGCCCACCGCTCTGTACCATGGAGAAGTTTGCTTCCTACTGCCTCACTGAACCAGGTGGGTTTGCTGCACTGCGGGCCACACAAAGCAGGGAGAGAGGTGTGACTTGGGCGGAGTCACCGAGCCTTCCTTCCAGCCTTTGACACAGAACTACCGCTCACTAGTGCTTTGACTGTGGAGTAATAGACTCCCATGACCTGATGGCACAGGACCCAGAGGCCTATAGGGCAGAGGCCTTGCAGGTTGTTGATCAGAACCTGCTTGCAGAGGCTCCCTGAAATACTCTCAGCTGGACAGTGGCCCAGTGGGGGCAAGTTTCTACCAAGTACAGATGATTCCTTTGGCCATCTGGATTTTACAGTGACACACTCTGAGCTGTTTGTGTCTTGGGAAGATTTCCAAGGAGATAGAACTGTGCTGGGCTTCCTTCACGGCACCGACTTTCTCACCCTTCTCTGCCCCCTTTTAATACCTGCTGTAGGAAGCGGGAGTGATGCTGCATCTCTGTTGACCTCGGCTAAACGACAAGGAGATCATTATATCCTCAATGGCTCCAAGGTACTAGCATGCGCCCTCCCAGAGCTTGGACATCACTCACCTTCCCCTGACATCTGCAAATTGATATTCCCATAGAGCTTTTATGTGTTAGGAAGAGAACCTTGGACTTGGCACCTGTGGCTCAAGTGGCTAAGGCGCCAGCCACGTACACCCAAGGTGGTGGATTCAAATCCAGCCCGGGCCCGCCAAACAGCAATGATGGCTGCAACCAAAAAATAGCCAGTGTTGTGGTGGACACCTGTGGTCCCAGCTACTTGGGAGGCTGAGGCAGGAGACTCACTTGAGCCCAGGAGTTGGAGGTTGCTGTGAGCTGTGATGCCACGGCACTCTACCCAGGGGGACAGCTTGAGGCTCCTGTCTAAAAAAAAAAAAAAAAAAAGGAAGAGAACCTCGAACCTTGACCCATTTCCCTTTATATTCACTCTCACTGTTCCTGTGTCTTCTGATCTGATTCCAGATATTTTCATTCACTTTTGTTTATCCTTTTTATATTCTGTTCACTGAGTCCCCTAATTACTGCAGCTACCTTTCCCCTGCCTCGGTCTCTCTGTGGCATCATCGTACCTGCTAGTGTCCTACCGTTGGGAGGACCTCAGGGGCTTTCCCAGATGCTTGGCTCCCGGAACTTACACATTTCCTGATCTCTGCTTCTCCAACCTGTCAGGCCTTCATCAGTGGTGGCGGTGAGTCAGACATCTATGTGGTCATGTGCCGAACAGGAGGACCGGGCCCCAAAGGTATCTCCTGCGTAGTTGTTGAGAAGGGGACTCCTGGTCTCAGTTTTGGCAAGAAGGTGAAAAAGGTGAGTGGCTGTTAGACAGGAAGCTATTGAAGGTATTAGACTCTGCCGCCTGCCTGACCAGCTCCTGCTCTATCTTGGAAAATGGACTCACGTACCTGCCTACCCACCTAATTAGGGTTTTTAGGATTTTTTTACGGAATCCTAAAAACATAAAATAGCCTAGGCCATGTTAAAGAAACACTGCCTGGGAAGAGTAGCAGAGTGTGCCAGTAAGTCCCACAAGCCGCCTGCCTCTACTTTTGGCCTGTATTTCGTGTCCGGTTTCTTGTTTTGTGTGTTGTTACCCCGCAAAGAGATACGCATAAAACTTGTGATTTTGGCCAGAAGTCTCAGGAATGAAAAGCTTCTAGTCCACTTTTCTTTGATTAAAAATAAAACTCCTTGGAGGCGATAGTGGGTATTTTAGTAATCTAAGAAGGGCAGTGTTTCTATACGTACTTTGGAAAATAAGACATTCCTAGGATTATGAAACCCTACGGCCAGGCCATGAATAGTAGAACTGTGATTACGTAACTATAATTGATGATAAAGGTGAAACTCATTCAGGTTTTTCATACCGGACCTTCAAATAGTCGTCTATCGCCGATTTGTATTGTTACTGTAGCTGGGACTTTTGGGGAGAAGCCGAGTAATGAAATAACCCCAGAATGTACTTCTTTCTCACAGCTCCTAGGGTTTCCATATTTTTCTGCACAATCCTTCCTGTCCCCTTGCACCTGCCGAGGAGTTACCAGCTTTAGTGCCCTTCTCTTTTGTACCATAGCAGATAGAACTAATGTGGGAATCATGCTCGCCCCTGGGGGCGAGTGGGGGACCTTAAATAAAAGGCCTAGGGATGGAGTTCATTTTTTCAGAAAAAGAAAAAAAAAAGCACTGCTGGGTGTTTTTATATAAGGAAAGGATGTGAAGGCAGTAGTGTATTCAAAGCTAGAAGGGATATTTTCTATAGTTTGTGATTTTCAAAATCTGCCTCACTAAAGCTTAAAGTTCCTTAAAGCCTCAGACTACCTGGAAGAGGAAATTAAGTAGAGCCTTAATCTATGTATTAAGGTGTGAAGCATCTGAATAAGATTTTGTTTGAATAAAGAGGCTCTGCTGGCTTTCCAGTGTAACTCCGTTATTTTATGTAAAGCAAATGAAGGCCACAAAGAAGTCAGGTGATTTGTCTGAAGATGAAAAACAAAGCTAATTAGTTGCGGGCATGGACTATGTCTCAGTGTGCAAAATCTTCTCCGAGCTTTGGCTCAGATATATCCAGTGAACCCACGGCAGATCAGCTCTCTGGGAAAAACAAACATACTTAGAGTGTTTGCCCATTTGTATAGTGTAAGTATTCTCACCGTGGCTGATTTCAAGCTACCACTATGATGGTAGAGCTACTGAGTGAAGAAAAGAGGTGCATGTCCGGCCCTCCTGAGCCAGCACAGCCCGTCACTCTGCAGCTGAGTGCTGGACCAGGTGCTGCCAACATCCTCCCCAGCCTCACTACCACATCTTCTTGGAACAGAAAGCTTCTCCAAGGAGAAGTAGTCTGTTGTTAAGACCTTTACATGTAAATTCAGCTTCTCCGAACAAACCTTATACTGTTTCTGTTCTTATGAAAGAGTGTACTCAGAGAGGCACCAAAAATAAGGGCAGATTCTGCCACATTCCTAAAAGGTGCAGAAAGCATTTGTCGGTGAGCCTAGCAGGGTAGACATTAGAACGTAGATGCAGTGAGTTAAAAAATGTTTAGCTTGAACAAACGACTTTGTTGAGTGTTGACAAGCCTTTAAATCTGAACTTTCTCTTTTTCCTCGTTTTAAGTTCTTGTGAGTCTAAGTCCAGGGTACTGGAACCCAAACCTCATGAACCTCTGTCTACAGGGAAGGCCGCCCTGCCCGGTGGATTGTTGGGCAGCCACACAATCCCTGATTTTTGCCAGGTGGGGTGGAACTCCCAGCCAACCCGAGCTGTGATCTTTGAAGATTGTGCTGTCCCTGTGGCCAACAGAATTGGGAACGAGGGTCAGGGCTTCCTCATTGCCATGAAAGGACTGAATGGAGGGAGGATCAACATTGGTGAGGACACGAAGGGACAGGTGAGGAGGTAGCGGGCTGGGGCAAGCAGTGTGCTTGTGGCTCAGCTGGGATGTTGGCACTCTTCACTCCAGCTTCCTGCTCCCTGGGGGCTGCTCATGCGTCAGTCATCCTCACCCGAGACCACCTCAATGTCCGGAAGCAGTTTGGGGAGCCCCTGGCCAGTAACCAGGTAAAGTCCTGGGTCTCTGCACGGCTTTCCAGTCTGCAGCCCCTGAGGCCTGCTGTAGGACACACAGCAGCCTTCATTAGGAGACAGAAGCCGTGACATCCCTTTGGGAAACCTCCCACCCTCTCAGCCAGAGCTCATGCTTTGTCCCCATCAGTGATCTTTCTTAGGGCAGTGACATTAGAGTGCAGAGCCTGCAAAGTGGATGGAAAACTCATAACGCAGCAGAGTCCCTCTGTAGAGGAGGAGCAGCCTTGGAAGCTTTGGCTCACTTCAAAAGGCACTCCATTCGGGACGTCTTGCTGAGGGTCCCGGGTCAGGGGCTGGCCTCAGCCCCTCCGTCTAGTCTCTTCCCTTCTCCCTGCTGCTGCAGTACCTGCATTTCAAACTGGCTGATATGGCAACAAGGCTGGTGGCCTTGAGACTGATGATCCGCAATGCGGCAGTGGCCCTGCAGGAGGAGCGGGAAGATGCAGTGGCCCTGTGCTCCATGGCCAAGCTGTTCACTACGGATGAATGCTTTGCTGTACGTTATAAGCCCTCAAGCTCTCCTGGGATGGGTGGGCAGCTGGTAGGCCTGGGGGTGTTTTTTTTTTTTTTTGAGACAGAGTCTCAAGCTATCCCCCTAGGTAGAGTGCTGTGGCATCACAGCTCACAGCAACCTCCAACTCCTGGGCTCAAGCGAATCTCCTGCGCAGCCTCTCAAGTAGCTGGGACCACAGGCGCCCGCCACAACGCCTGGCTATTTTTTGGTTGCAGTTATCATTGTTTGGCAGGCCCGGGCTGGATTCGAACCCGCCACCTTAGGTGTATGTGGCTGGCGCCTTAGCCGCTTGAGCCACAGGCGCTGAGCCAGGCCTGGGGGTGTTGAGAGGCGTAAGTCAGCTTTGGAACGCACCCCTCCTGGGATGTTGTAGGACAACCTGATGTGCACGGATCTAAATGAACTTTTGAGAAGCCTGTATGGAAGCTCTCACAGCAGGCTTTTGGCCTGCTCTGTGCCGTTACGTACTTCATTATGTCACTGTTGTGTGGTTGTGTTCTTGATGAGACGCCGCCTCTGCCAGGTTCACAGCAGCCCAGTGCCTCTTGCCCAGGCTTAGCTCTCTGCCATGTTTGCATTGTCAGGGGTAGAGCCACAGTGAAGCTGTGTGGCCACTAGGTGGCACCTTAGTGTCATGTAATCCCAGCCAGGACTGCTGTGGGCAGATTCTAAGTGACAAAGGCAGAAATCTTTGGGTTGCCTGTCCAGTGGGCCTCAGTGAGCAGACTGCCCCTGTAGTCTCTGACCACATGGGATGTAGACCCCTCTTGGGGCTTGGCTGTGAGCTGTTCTTCCTTATTGGTTTACAGCAGGCTGACTGACTGGGCTGCGGGAGGGAGGGAAGCCTCCTGCCCTCCAGTCTTCCACCATCAGTGACGTTTCATCCCCGTCTCCCTGCAGATCTGCAACCAGGCTTTACAGATGCATGGAGGCTATGGCTACCTGAAGGATTATGCTGTTCAGCAGTATGTGCGAGACTCCCGGGTCCACCAAATTCTTGAAGGTAAAAATTGCCCAAGATTATTGTCTTCCTTTAGGAATTGGGTGTAGGATCAATGCTTTGCCCAGCCCGTCTGTCCTGTCGGCCCTGGCTGTCTTTGGCTTCTTCCTTCCTTTCCACAGTCATGTTAGTCATATTCTGGAAGTGGCCTGTTGGTTCTTTAGAAAGGACACCAGCCTGGAGTCAGGAGACTGTTTAGTCACCTCCAGTAGGACCTCAGGTCAGTCTGCTCTGTCACCTCCAGTAGGACCTCAGGTCAGTCTACTCTGTCCCCTTCAGTAGGACATTGGGTCATTCCTTTTCCTTGTAGATTGAAGAGAAGGCTTGAGCTGAGATAATTCATGAGAAAGCACGTTAAAGGCTGAGGCGGGGGCTGTTATTTACTGTTATATACTTCCTGGTCCTCAGGGATCTCGGAGGTTCTATATCAGCGGTTCTCAACCTGTGGGTCACGACCCACAGGAACTGGATTAAAGGGCCGCAGCATTAGGAAGGTTGAGAACCACTGTTCTATATAGTTGTTTACAGGGCAAATGTGAGCCATTGTGATCACCAGCAGCTGTACAAATTGATTATCAGTCAGACAGTCTAAGAGATACCTGTATCAATATTGTTAGTGAATTTGGCAAGAAAATAAATCATCAGTAAAAGGGTGTGTTCTTGGTAGTCACAGACATTCTGTCTGGGAACTGTGTAAGCCCCTGGAGTCTGGCTCGGGCTGTGCCTTTCTCAACTCTCTCCAGCCAGTGCCTAAGTCTTAAAATTCCATGACTTGTTCCAGATCCTGCAAGTAGGTGGACTCAACCCTGTGGAAGTGGAGATGGGCAGAGGCTTTGCTGAGTGACTTTCAGTGAAGAAATATGGGGCTGCTTCAGTGGGGACATCATATAATGGGGTCTCCGTGCCTCCTGGAGCTTCTGTTCCCCTGGTCTAGTGTGGGCCTGACAATTTGCATTTCTTTCTTTCTTTCCTTTTTTTTTTTTTTTTTGTGAGACAGAGTCTTACTGTATTGCCCTGGATAGAGTGCTGTGTTGTCATAGCTCACAGCAACTTCAGACTCCTCAGGAGATCCGCTTGCCTCAGCCTCCTGAGTAGCTGGGACTATAGGTGCCCGCCACGACAACCAGCTAGGTTTTCTATTAGTAGACACGGAGTCTTGCTCTTGCTCAGGCTGGTCTCAAACTTGTGAGCTCCAGCAATCCACCTGCCTTGGTCTTCCAGAGTGCTAGGATTCTAAGTGCAAACCATTGCACCCGGCTGAGAATTTGCGTTTCTAACAAGTTTTCCAGTGTGGCTGCCACTGCTTGTCTGGAAACCACACTCGGATGCCCTTTCTCTAGAGTTAACTCTAAATCGTAGGCTTCTTGAGGTCCGTCTGTGGCTCTGCTCTGGAAGCTTGTGTCTGAGCTCAGTTGCTGGTGCTCACCTGAAGTCCCCCTGCTTCTCCTTCCTTCCATCAGACTTGGCAATTACTTTCTCACTTGGCTTTTATGAGGGTGGAAAACTTCCCCTACATTCTAACTCTTGTCTTTTAACACTGATGTAATACATGTTAACAGCCAAATATGTGTATTTGTAGAAAAACTTGGGTACTGGTCGCTGTACAACTTTGTTTTGTCATGGACTTTACTATTGGTAAATCTAAAATTTTAGATTTAGTTTTATTTGATACTGTGCTTACTCATTCCTCAAGGGGGTTTCTATTTCTCTTTGCATTAAAGGCTACTGCTAGAAATGCAGCAAATAATTGATACCCCTTTTCAGGGTTTCAGGGGTTTTGTTCTTTTATAATTCAGTTTTCTGATTATTAAATTTATATTTACTATCAAAAACTTATGAAAAATAAGAAAAGTAGAAGAAAAAATTACCTATGTTTCTACATTCAGAATAATATTTTGGTATATCTCCTCTTGGACTTTTTTTTAAGTAAATATTATTTATTGCCTAACATTCTTCTATACTTTGGAGAGAGGTCTGCGGTAATCCCACCCCTCCCAGAGATAAAAGCCGTGCTTCTATTTTAAATTCACAACTGTCCTGAACGGGACCTGGAGCAGCCTGGTCGGAGCTTTGGTGAACTTCCAGGCTTGGCTGCTGCTGAACGAAGCCTTCCTTCTCTGTCCGTCTTGCAGGAAGCAATGAAGTGATGAGGATGTTGATCTCACGCAGCCTGATGCAGGAGTAGCACCCGCGCGTGCGTTCTCGAGTGGCCTTCACTGTGTCTGCTGTCCGTGTTCAGGGCTGCCATGTGGGCCTTTCTGTTCCAGATGAATCATGGATTAGACTGGAGGGCTCAGCGCTTCCAGTGTAGGACATGCTCTCTGTGTGGGTGCAGCAGAGTCCTCAGTGGAACTGGAGGAACTGCCCTGATGAGAAGTGTCACAGGAAAATAAACTGCCTTGTTTTACCAATGCCAGGAAGGTGACAGGTGAAGATTCACCATCGAACCAAAGTCCTTTCTTGGATCCACATTGTCTGCATTTTGCTGGGTCCCTGGATCCTTCTTCTAGGAGCCTGGGAACTTGCATGGAAGCTTTTCTGATTATACAGCAGAGGCGTCCTGGGGAAAATGGAGGGAGAATGTTCTCTTGTCTGCTTCTGTTCTCTGTTGCACAGCTGAGCATGCAAAGGGTTTCTCTGGACAGCACTCCTCCAAACGTAAATCATGATAAAATGAGTCTTTGGGAAACTGCTCCTGAGCTGTGATTTGGGGTTTCTTTCCACTTCTGGACTACTTGAGTATCAAGGGCTGAGATTATTTGGAATTTTGAATATTTGTGGTGTTTCTTTTTTAGAAGCCTGTAGTCTAAGATTGGGATTCAGGTTTTGAATGGGTTATTCAGTCTAACCCATCCTGATAAGTACTTTCCGAGTGTTTGTTTCCTTTTATAAATTTGCTCCTTCCTCTTTTAAAATATTTTTAATCACTACGTTGACAAATAAAATCTACCCCTTTCTGTATTGTCTCTGGTTCTACTAAACTTGGTTTTCATATTATCCTTGTAACTAAGCCTTTATGACTTTTTATTTTTTAATTTGATTAAATATTCAACTGGATTTTATTTTATTTTATTTTAATATTTTTTGAGACAGAGCCTCAAGCTGTCCTCCTGGGTAGAGTGCTTTGACATCACAGCTCACAGCAACCTCCAACTCCTGGGCTCAAGCAGTTCTCCTTCCTCTGCCTCCCAAGTAGCTGGGACTACAGGCGCCTGCCACAACACCTGGCTATTTTTTGGTTGCAGCCGTCATTGTTGTTTGGCGGGCCTGGGCTGGATTCAAAACCTGCCAGCTCAGGTGTATATGGCTGGCGCCTTAGCTGCTTGAGCCACAGGTGCCGAGCCTCAACTGGATTTTAAAGCAATAATCAAACATCTTGATCAATTTAACTTTTATAAAGTAGGCTTCCTAAATTAGTAATAGCTTTGCCAACTAAGAATTGTTTATGATATATGAAAGATTTAAAGTAATATTCAAAGATGAGGACTTCTGGGGAAACCCTGTTACAAATGATTATATTATTCTTTTCTCATCTCTATAGAAAAACGTGTTGGTCAAGACCTCCTAGCAGCACTGATAAACTGAGTACGTTGAAACTTGCCCAGGTAAATCAGAAAGGGCCCTTTCCACTGTGTTTCTTGGAAGTGAAATAATGGACCGTAACACAAAAAAACTGTCTCAAAACTTTCATAGTGACCTAAAAGTGACCTATGCATATGCAGATACTTAGTAATTATAAGTCACTTTGGAGAGAAAAAAATGAAAATGCAGAACATTTAAAGAGAATTAAGAATGTCCCTTTCAGACAGAAAAGAACCAGGAGCAGGAAAAGTATAGGATTTGGGCAAAAGCTATTGATACTTTTGTTTAATTGTGGTTTGGGGTTGGCAGGTTGGCAGGGACAGAAAGAAAAATTAAGCTGAATCTGGTTGGAGAGTTAGGAAAGCTACAGGTGAGGGTTTATTTGGTGAACAGTGAGAAGATGTGATGAGATTAATTCATTCCTGAGAACTTTCTGGAATGCATATGTGGGATGACGGCAAGTGGGGAAGGACAGAAGGGACGATATATCCAGTCAATAGGTTCTTGAGCCAGGAATGGTGGCCCGAGCCTGTAATGCCAGCTGCTTGGGAGACGGAGGCCAGAGGCTTGTTTGAGCCCTGGAGTTTGAGACCATCCTGGGCAACATAGTGAGACCTCATCTTAAAAAACAACACCCTGGAAAAAACATTCTCAAAATAGTTGGAGTGTGAGGCCCTTTGTACCTGAAAGGAAAGACGGCAGATGTGAGGGACTATCGATGCCACCGCTGACTCCAGCCCTCCCTGGGAAAAAGGCTGCTTTCTGAAACCCTGGTTCTGAGAGGCTCCTATTCAGACTGAAAACAAAAACAGATGTTGTCCCCTTGGTAAGATTTTGATGAAATGTAGTTATTAAAAGTGCATTTCTCACTGTCATCCTCACTTATTCAGAGGTTTCAGTTTCCCTGGCAAGGGATTTGACAAAAGCAGCAAGAACGCGGCAAACTTGGAGCTCATCTCTAGCACGGCACACCTGCCTCTCTCACAAGGGAGAAAAGCAGAGCCAGAGCACGTCTCCAGGAAAGCCTCTGTGCTGGCACCGTGTCAGAGCTGGATGCACGCAGACCCCGCAGCTCAGGTTGGGCAGGGCTCGTGGACTGGGAGGCTGTAGATAAGTGGCGGCAAGAGCGAAGACGTGCCCGCTGTGTTCCAGAACACAAGCTGCTGTGTAATCCCATGTGTCATGATGACTTAAGTCAGAATTGGATTTCTAGATTGTCTTAACGCTAACAAGTATTTGAACTACTTCTAATAATAATATCATAGTTGGGGAGAAATGTAATTACTTTAATTATACATTATAATAATTTATATAATACATATTATAATATGTACATTTTTATATATATGTACTTTTTCTTTTTTTTTTTTTTTGAGACAGACTCTCAAGCTGTCATCCTGGGTAGAGTGCCATGGTGTCATAGCTCACAGCAACCTTCAACTCTTGGGCTTAAGTGATTCTCTTGCCTCAGCCTCCCCAGCAGCTGGGACTACAGGCACCCACCTCAACGCCCAGCTATTTTTCTGTTGCAGTTGTCATTGTTGTTTTTAGCTGACCCAGGCTGGATTCCAACCTCCAGCCTCAGTGTATGTGGCTGGCACCCTACTCAATGAGCTACGGGCACTGCCTATATATAGCTTTAATTTTATATATTTGAATATAAATAGAAGAAGAAGTCACCTATTAAAATTTTCTCTTCATCCTTCCTAGATTTGATAAATTACAAATACCCTGTTTAGTGCTTATCTGGTTATACTTTTACTTTAAAAACCCTAAGATTTCTCTAAAGCACTTTCCTGGGAATTACACGTCTCTTGAAATTGGTCTGAGTTGTTAATACCATAGCTCTTCCACAGCCTCTGTCAGTGCTGCCGGTGGGTTCGGAGATGTGGCCCTGGACTCCGGCCCCTACATCTAGATTTGACCGTCAGCTCTGCCACTGATTGTGTGACCTTAAGTAAAATCGCTTAAACTCTCTTTAGCTTATTTCCTTCTGTGTATAGTGGAGAAAATAAAAGCCTCGTATGTCACAGAACATGTGGTGAAACAAGTGAAAGAATCCACATAAAGGGCCCAGACTAGAGCACATTAAACAAAGCACTCAGTAAATTAACAGCAATTAGTAAGCTCATTCATAAACGAACGTAGCAGGCTGTGGGAGAGGAAGTGACTTGCTCAGACTCACACCGCGATCAGACTGAAGTTGTAACACACAACTCTTTGAAGAACATTGAAAATATTTAGGATTTGGTTGTCCATTAGTGCTAAATACCAAATATTTTTGGTCTGCTTTTCTTCCAGGTAAATGACAGGATTGCATTGCTTTTTGCCAATTTTATAAAAACATACAATAAGCCCATGAACGCATTGCTAAGCTCCCTCCTCCATCTTTGAAGGGACCCAGAAGCTTAAGCCTCATTAGCTTCATGGCCGACGGTCCCACTTTGCATTATCCAAACATTTCCGTGTACATTATTCTCACCCAAAATTTGTTCTCTTTGGTGCTCAGAAGTCCTTCCTATCCCTGGGTATTATGATCAGCAAAACCCTGAGTGGATCGGGGATCGCCATGGAAAAGAGGGATCCAAAGAGCCTAGACAGTGTTTTTCAACCTTTTCTATCTCACGGCACACTTGAACCCAGGGTTAAACTTTCGAGGCACACTTAAATTATGTTGATCAAAAAAAAAAAAAGAATAAAAAATTATATACTTACTGTGCTTTGAACTTCTTTTGAAAATAATTTAATTAATGATCTTTAAAACTGGTTGAAAATCACTGGGCTAGACAGTACGGTGGGAGACCCAACAGACCAGCCCTTCCAGTTGAAAAATCAAATTCCAGGTTGGGTGACCCGTAGCAAGGAGCAGATGAGAGGGACAGAATGAACCAGGGTGACAAAATATTCTTTCATCGCTTAGATTGGAGGAAAAGTTATCCCCACAACCACCTTGTGGAGCCATCATCTGCTTTGGAAAAGAGAGGCCTGGGTTTTATTCCCAGCGCAGTTTGCCCAGTGTTGGTTCAGTTCTCTCCCTCTCCAGCCTTCATGTGGGCACTCCCGTTTACTCAAGTTTTTATAAAGAGTTGCATAAACAATACTTTAAGATAGGTTACCTTCCTGGCCATCACCCAGATGAAGGTCCTGACCTTCTCACACGCAAATTCTGATCCTTCCCGGATAATGTGGAAGTGCCCCTCTTTCCCATTTTGTCTGTAAACCAGTCTGTGGATGTGAGATTCTTCCAGCAGACTTTGAGGTCTGCAGAGTCTAGGAAATATCTCTGACCCGTTTCCTTATCCTTAGTGCCTTCCAGGCACGTAGTAGGGAACTCAGTGTTCATGGAATAAATAGACTTGGGGAAAGCCATCGTCACCAGTGAGACACTAACAGCAGCTACTGACAAATCTGAAGTAGGCACAGGGGACACCCAGTGTCAAAAGCCAACTAACCACACCCAAGAAAGTGACCAAGGGATGGCACCTGTGTGTAGTGAGTAGGGCACCGGCCCCATATACCGAGGGTTCAAACCCAGCCCTGGCCAAACTGCAACAAAAAATAGCTGAGCATTGTGGCACATACCTGTAGTCCCACCTACTTGGGAGCCTGAGGCAAGAGAATCGCCTAAGCCCAAAGAGTCGGAGGTTGCCATGAGCTGTGACATCATGACACTACTGAGGGTGACAAAGTGAGACTCTGTCTCTTAAAAGAAAGAGACCTGGACACAATAACATGGCTCCCAGGACGTTTGGTGAGTGAAAAGGCAAGCTCAGCTCGCATAACGTGTCACCCTGTTTTGTGGCTTTTTTTTTTCTGAGACAGAGTTTCACTCCATTGTCCTGGGTGGAGTGCTGTGGCATCATAGCTCACAGCAACCTCAAACTCCTGGGCTCGAGCAATCCACTTGCCTCAGTCTCCCAAGTATCTGGGACTATAGGCTCTTGCCACAGTGCCCAGCTCTCTTTTAGAGACAGGGTCTTGCTCTTGCTCAGACTGGTCTTGAACTCCTGAGCTCAGAAATCCACCTGCCTCAGCAGGATAAGACAGGGCGAGGACACTGGTTAGTTATTGTGGTCAGCCAGGGGACAGGTGAGCAGCCCACACTAAGGCCATGGACATAGGAAGTGTAGTCTGAAGATAGGATGAAAGGACGCTCATCCCAGTTCACATCTACATGGACTCTCCAGTGGGCCGGTGGGCACATGGGTGTGACACTCAGAGAAGAGACGAGGGGGTGAGGCATGTGCTCAACCCCAGACTGAGTCTGACCATCTGTCCCTTTCTATTAGGGCTAACATGCTGTTTCTGTCATTAAAACTTCCACTCTGTCATCCTGGACCCTGAATTTAGTCTTGGAGGATTTTAAAAATCTGTTCTTTCTGGCTTGTCCCGGGCCCGCAGTCCAGCCCTCCAATGGTCTGAGGGACGGTGAACTGGCTCCCTATTTAAAAAGTTTGAGGACTCCTGGTCTAGGAGATGGGGAAGTCCTTGAAAGGGACATGCATGCATGTGATGTGTCTTTCTTGCTTTATCTTTCTCCTTAGAACTTGCCACTAGCTGACTTACTAGTGTGTGATTTACTGATGTTTCTTGTTTATTATTTGTTCCCCACATGAGAATGTTACTACCTTGGAGACGCAATTCTTTTCCTCTGCTTCCTCAGCCTCTAAAACGATGCTTATTACAGCCTTTGAAAACTTTTAGCCTGCCTGTTCTAGAAACAGTCTCTTTTTATTTGTGACATTGCAGAAATCACAAAAGAAATTGTTCAAAGCAGAAGCAGTAGGAACCTTCGGTGTAAAACTAAGTAATTGTGATTATCTACATCAGAACTTGATAAAAACACAGATTCTCCGAGACTCATGATGGGGTTATAGCCCAAGACACATAGTATACATTGAAAGTATCATAAGTAGAAATGCATTGAATACACTTAAGCTGCTGAGCATAGCTTAGCCTCATCTACCTTACACATTCTCATACGCTTACACTTGCCTACGGTTGGGCAAAGTCATCTGGCAAGTATGCTGTAGAGCAGGGGTTCTCAACCTTCTAATGCTGCAGCCCTTTTATATAGTTCCTGTGGGTCTCGACCCACTGCTGTAGAGTATCAGTTTGCTTTTGTGACCATGTTTCACTTTATTGACAGTTGTTTTATAAACCAATGTATGGTTTTTCTGGGGAAATGTTCTATGTGCACTGAAGCAGAATGTGGATTCTGGTGAACTTTGTCAATTTTTGTTTTAAATATTTGAGGCCCAGTTATTCAGTACATGCAAGCTTTGAAACTGTATGTCACGCTGGTGAACTGAACCTTCTGTTGTCGGGAAGGGCATCCTTTGACTCTGGTGATGCTTCTTACCTTAAAGCATACTTTCTCTAGTATCACAACTACTGTAACGTTTTGTTAGCATTTGCATGCCATATCTTTTTCCATATTTTAAATTTGAGCCTTTATTTAATAAACAATATGTAGTTGGATTAAAAAAATCTGATCCAACAATGTTGCCCATTAAACAGAAAATTTAGTCCACATAGTCTTTTTATTATTATTATTTATTGGAGATGAACATGAAAGTACAAACCATTAGATTACTGTGGGGAATGGGCCAGGAGGTGGCAGGGCCCCCTACAGCCTGGGGAAGTGTTGAGAGAACGACCCCCCTCCCCCCAGCCACGTCTCCTCCTAGATTAAGATTCTCTTCACCTGCCGGAAGTCAGGTAGCCCCTCTGTATCTCCTTATTACAGCTTAGCCCAGGTGTTAAGACTTAACCTTGTTAACAGCACTTTATAAATACAGCTGCTTCCACAGTTCCGAGTGGGCGGCTGCAGCCAGCAGCTGGTCAGCCCTCCGTTTCCCAACCTGGCTCCTGTCTCGTGTGTCTTTCCTCATTCTCCCCCCCTCCCCCATTTCCAAAATCCACTCAGGATTTTTCTCCTTCCTCCCACTGGTTCATGAGAGGTGGAGCGCGACCAGGCACCTGAGTACAGAAAAGTAAGTTCAAGCAGGTGAGGGAATCCTGATTCCCCACCATTCCCCCTCTGGTTCAAACAGGGACACGGGCAAGTGAAGCTA